CCTGGGAAAGCACTAAAAGCCTGTCACAGCATCCCTAGCTGATGTAGCTGCTGATGTGCTGATATCCTCATGGAATGCCAAGTGCACTTTCCACTGTAAAACACTTTTAAGGTGTTTCTTTGAAAAGCTCCTGGATCTCCACATTTCCTAGCAAGCCTTTGATATGTGACTGAAGGCCTCAGAATAGTTTTTCCTCCAGAAAAATGCAGTCTTTCTGTTAAAAAAGGCTATACTGAAGTCTTTTTCTTTTCTTTCAAATATCCTTTATATTACAACACTAGTGTCCATAACTGATAGATTTAATTTTCTTCTGTAGATAGACACTATTTACTTTTTACAGGTGTGTATATCATAAAGATTTTCAGGAAACTGTCAAAAAGTTTTTGTAACAAGAATTTGTATGATTTCATGTTTTTAACACAGCAAATATAGTTCTGAATATGAAACAAAGTAGACTGAAATTTTATCTATACCCCTTAAAATGTCTTTACTATTTTTCCAGAGTTTTCACAAACAGAATTTACATTGTTTACTGTAATATCTATCCCAGTGAATTATCAAAACCTTTAGAGAACAGCATGATGGCACCTTTAAACTTCTCCAAATTCACAAGCACACCCATGCTGCAGGTTGAGGAAACCTTCTCCTGTAGTTTTGTATAAAACTAGAAAGAACAGCAACAGTAATGGGGGAAAAGTTTATGTCACAAAATTTTCATCTTAACACGTTAATTCTTGATGACCTCAGTATAGTTCAATCCAATGATATTGCCACATTCAAGGGTGCATGTCATATCTACAAATCCCATCAAATCAAGAATAATTTGATGACAACTACCAACAATGTATTTAAGAAGTTCATAATTTCCAAAAGAGACATTAATTGTCCATCTCATGTAAGCAAGTGCAGATACAAAGTAGCTTTGCATTATTCTGTCACTGAAAGAAGGTTCTCTTTTGTTGTCACAGAAAGAAATAAAGACAAAACTAAAACTTCAAGTGTACACAGTTACTAAGATTTGTGGAAGGAATCATGTCTACAAAAGTAGCTTTATTTTTCCTTTTCTCTTCCAAAAAAGCCTATACTCCTTCAGGGACTTGAAGGAAATATTTGCTATTAACCATTTAAAGTGCTGCTCACTTGCTAGGGAAGAGCAAATTGAAACAGGCAAGACCATTGTCTGAAAAGACACCACACAGCAAATGCTACTTTAAATGCACACCCATTATCAACCCTCCAATGTCATTTACTTGGCTAAATAAAACAAAATTTTAGTTCAGTATAATCTGGCAACTCAGTAAAAAGCAAAAAAAAAAAAAAAATTAAAAACCCTAGCAAAAAAAAAAAAAATTAAAATCCTAAGGCTAAACAGAGAAAGTCAAGCTTTAGCAGATCATTTTTATAAACTTGCCCATGTCACTTAAGACCTCCATACAGGGACAGCCAACACTCTAGCAGTGAAATATACTGAAGTATTTCAACGCTGGAATACTCTCCAGCACCAACCCTCACACAGTGAGGAAAATCTGCAGCCGAAGCTTCAAGAAGGCTCCATCTGCCAAAACCACTGTGTGCTTTTAATGAAGAACAGCCACAGAAATGCATTAAGAAGAACACAAAGTTTCAGGGAGTGGTAAGAACAGCAGCACCCTGGTCATGCTTCCCACCCACCTCTGCAGATCCCACAGAAAGTCACTACTCACTGCAAATACCTGTGCAGAGCATGGATCCCACACTGGCCAAATGACCAAAGTCAAGGAAATGCTCTTAGCATCCAAAATATACAAATACTTTCAGACTGATGTCATGAAATACATCACTCGAGTACTTCATCTCTACCTTAACTCTTTTTTACTATTATTTAAATACTACATGTTGGGTGCTCAGTTTATTTTCCTGAATAAATCTGCATATCTAACAATTAGTTGCAGCCAGTCATCACCTTGGCTCCATTCTGGCACACAGTGATGGAAAATAAAATTTATGCAAGATTTATCTTTCAAAAATATTAAACCAAGTTTTGAAGTAAAAACTTGTTCTTTGCTCTCCTGAAATTTTGCTTTAGTGGCTTTATAACCATTTAATATGCAACAAGTGACTTGTTCTATTTTTTTTTATTTTTTTTTTTGGTACTGAAACCTCATGGATTGAAACGCTTCATAGAAAAATAGAAAAGTCCCCTTTCACCTAACTTCAGAATTTATCGTTGTATTATTCTTCCCTGCAATTTGGGAAGCCACTAGTTCTGCCACTGATTTGCAACACAGTGTCAGTTCTTTGCAAAACTGAAGTACCCCAAGAAGATGAGGATCAAAAGTTGTACGTTTGATGAAGATCAAAAGTCGTAGTGGCTTGTAGGTGTAGGAGAGTAAAATCTTCTTTCCCAAAGAAAACCATGCACATATGTGTGAAAACTCTGCTAATAAATTATTTATGTTTAAAGATAGAATCCTGTGATTACTTCCAGGCTGCACTACTAAGTGCTCCAAATGGTGGCTTCTCTGATCATTTCAGTTGGAATAAGCTCAAAAGAAATAAGTAATAGGTTCCTTGTAACTAGTCATGTAAGGCTACCATTATGTACATAAATCAGCTTCCAACACTTGCTCTTTCTCCCTTTTTCAGTATAAAGATGAAAAGTAAGACTAAATAGGGTGATTTTTAAGCCAGGAAATACAAGCCTAACATTTCTTATGCTGTTTTCCCAATGAGCAAGAGTGATTCAGTCCCATTAATAGCATTAGACACTGCTAGGACTGGATCCTTGTTGGCAAGACAGGCTCCAACATCACAAGGTCAAAAAAGAGCTTCTGAATTACATTAGTGAAAACTCTCCTAAGGAGTTTCCATAGCCTCCACCTACTGAGAATCTATTTTCCTTTCATACCAATAGTAATGCAAAAATGGCACAAATTTGACTTCAAAATGATACTTCTAAGTATACATCTATCAGTACATAAAATGTTGACTGTACATCTGATTTATTTTGCACAATTAAATCTTTGCAGCATAAAAATATCTATCCCAACATGTGCTAAAGGCAGAAACTTCTAAAACTCAAGAAGTTTTAGACCTGGCATTTGCCACTTTTAAATGATGTCCAGGTATGGCTCAGGAAAATGCCAGCTGGCCCAAGCAAGCCATGCCAATGCCCATGCTGACAATGATGTGGCCAAGCACATGCCAGACTTCAGCCCAACACCCAAATTTGATTTGCTGCTATGGACACACTCTCCATTGAGGGAAACCTTAGCTCCAGCCTGATGCAGAAGACACCTTTGGTAGATGCCTGGAAGGCCACAGAGATCACACCACCCTAGAGCACAAAGTGAAATTAAAAACACCCCAGAGCTGCAAATCACAATAGAAGGTAACAGTCCATGACACCTGGAAATCCCTGCACAGAGGTTTTCCCACTGTGATGTTCCACCTTCATCAGACTTTCATATAATAAATTCTCCACCCTCTCAAAGAGAGAAGACAGATCTTTACTGATGATCACACTAAATACATGTCAACAATTAGCTTGAAAAGATAAAATAACTGGGAAAATGTGGGCTGCATTATCTAGACAGCCCTTTATTTGACAGAAATAGAAAAATATGTTAAAAATATATGAGATGTTTTATTTCCAATTATCGTATTCAAAAAAAGAAAGAAAAAGACATGTATCTTCAGCCATACAAAAACATTTGAGAAATCATGGGGTTTTTTCCTTACTTCACCTAGCTTACCAGCCTGGAATCTGGTTTTTCCATTACCTGAAAGTGAAGTGGCAGTGTTACAAGAAACATGAGACTACTCCCGTCTCAGTTTCCCAGTTTTAATCTCGGACTATTTACAATGACCTTCTCTTTTCATTTTTGTTAGCAACTACCTAACAACACTCAACTAAGCTGGAGACAGAGAAGAAACTGCTTCTCTTCTGAGCTACTACAGCACTACATTGTGACCCACAGGGTAAAAAGCAGCCAGTGGCTTTAATTTGCCCATCTTTCAGCAGCCAAAGTCCACACTATTAATGAAGCAGGAAGCAACTCCAGAAGGTTTATGTTTGCTTTTGGGGTGAGCAGAGCTTGCACAGACTATGCCCTTCAACAGAACCCACAGCCCCTTAGAGCTTTTTTCACACAGCAGAACCACTTACATGACACATTTTCTGCTACAAGAGAACTGTGTTTTCCAGATCCCAGCACAGACAGACACTTCATGCGATCACAGATGCTGCTGTGGCAGCATCAGCACAGCACTGCATTGTTTTTCTCTCTAAAGACACAGCGTACAGAACCTCTCAGAACAGGCTGGTAACCGGTTTTGGCCCAGCCATAGGAACCTGCCTTCCTACATCACTAGTAATACCAGGTCATGACAGACTTGGAAGCTAAAATAGTGAGGCACAGGATGGCAGACAGCAAGCAGAAATCTGCAACTCAGAGGCTCTTTAAGCTCTGAAAAGGCAGAAAAACCGCGCTCCAGAGAAGCATGAGAGCAGAATCCAGACAAAGGTGCTGCCGAACACACCAAAACCCAGCTAGAAAGCTGCAGAACGCGGGCACTCCGCGTTTCTCCTCAGGGAGCTCCCCACGCACCCACCACCCCTCTCGCAGGCAGCAGCCAGCAGCGCGCAGCGAACGGTTCCGCCGCGGATGCAGACGCGTGCAGCCCGCGCCTCCCCGGCAGCCGGGGCCGGGGGCTCCGCTCCCGCCGCCTGCCCCGCGGGGCCGCCGCGGCACGGCCGGCGGGGAGGCCGCGGCAGGCCGGGCGGAGGGTGCCGCGGGCGGCCCCTGAGGCGCGGGGGACCCGCGGCGGGCGCGGGGCGGTGTCACGGCCGGGGGTGACAGCGCGGCCCCGCGGGGGGAGGCGGTGAGGAGGGGCCGAGCCCGGGGCTTCCCGCGGCCGCAGGACACAGGCCCTGCCGGAGCCTGCGCACCCGCGGGAGACCCCCCGGCGGGCGGGCGGGGGTCGGGGCCGGGCTGTGCCCGCCGGCGCTCGGCGCTTACCGGGGCAGCCGCCGCCTCCTTCCCGCTGCTTCGCAGCCCCGGCTCCGGGGGCGCCGCGCGGGCCGGGCCGGCGGGAGGGGGGGCGCGGAGGGGCGCGCGCACGGCGGGGACCCCTCCGCCCGCCTCCGCCCCGCCCCCTGGCGGCACCGCGCACGCGCCCGGGGGCCGTGAGGGGGGGAAAGGGCGGGGCGCGGGCGGCGCGTGCGCGGGGCGGCACCGCCCTCAGGGCGGCCCCTCCCTCACGGCGGGGCCGCTCCGCGCCCGGGCGCCCGAATCGCGGCGTACCGGCTTCAGCCTGGGGGGAGGCGGCTCTGAGGTGGTGGAGCCCAAGCCGTCACCCAACATCACCGGGTCATCTAGAAGGTGGCCGTGAGCTGAGCGCCACGTTCAGTTTTTCCTTAAACACCTCCCGGCACGGTGACTCCATCACCTCCCAGGGCAACCCGTTCCGATGTCCTGGCAACCCTTCTGTGGAGAAATTCCCCCTCATGTCCGACCTGACCCTCCCCTGGCGCAGCTTGAGGCCTTTCCTCTCATCCTACCCCTCGCTGCCGGGAGCAGACCCCGTCCCCTCACGGCCATCCTCTGTCAGGAGTTGTGGAGGGACAGACGGACCCCCGAGCCTCCTTCTCTCCAGGCCGAACCCCTCAGCTCCCTCAGCCGCCCCTCATCACGCTGCCGCTCCAGACCCTTCCCCAGCTCCGTTGCTGAGGCTGGGAGGGCGGCAAGAGCCCCGGCCCAGGGCCCACATCTGGGACTGCGGAAAATATCAATTATTTTGTGGAGGTTTTGGGGCCGGGGAATAAGCATGCATATTTGAAGCTCTGGCAGCAAGCACACAAGGGACAGGAAATGTAAGTGTGAGTGGGTGGGCTGGGGGTCTTCTAAACATGTGTCTTACTGTCCAGTCTATAACTGTAGCTTTTCATTTGAGTGAAAAGTAGATGTTTAAATGTGTGTTGTGGCTTAAACGGGCTAGAGTTTTCTTCACTGTTCAGCAAAAACCCAAAATATAGCCCATACTAGCCACCTTGAAGAAAATTAACTCTACCCCAGCCAAAACCAGCACATTGTGGTAGGAAATAGCTTTTCCTTCTTAGGTGACAAGAACTCAAATGCACAAAAGCTTTCAGAGTCTGAGCTCCCTTCAAACGCATTAAACTAAGCTCAGCTTTGTAGCCCATCACTGCACAGGATGTTTGGCTTGTCACAAATAACCAGCAAATGAAGTTAATAACCCCAAATTGCAGCGTGGGTGCTTTGGTGGGAGGTATAGCAGAGTTTGTATTTACAGGCACTGCCTGGGAAATGCTATGAACACAAAGTTAAGAAAATGTGCTTATTTGACACATTCCTGTAAAAGTTTCCCTCTATTTAGGCGAAAGCTTCTCTCCCAGCTCAGCTGTTTTAGCAAAAGAAACATTTCAGTGTAAGATTGAGTTGCATGTTCTCCCTTGAGGTACATTCCTTCCTAGAATTCATAGGAATAGGATTCACAAGAATACAGAATTTGTAGGTTGCAGACCAGTAGGGCAAGTATGATTTACAGTCCTCTCATTATCTTTGATGAAGGTAAATTTTCAGTATTATAAATCAAAGTAAATTATATCTCCATTACATCAGAATTCCCTTTAAAACTGACAGGATGTATGCTGCTATATATTGCAACACCGTTTGATTTACGTGGTGGGAAAATTTTTCTGTTTGTGTGTCTTCCAAAGTAAATTTCATTGAGCTGCCCTTCCACGTCCATTTCTGTGTCACTCTGTGTGCTCCTACCTGGTGGGGATTCCCCTGACAGGCGGCTGCACAGACAGTGAAATGCTCCTTTATGATTAAGTAATAATCCTGATGTTTATTTTCCTGCACTACAACCAATGCCATTCAGTTACATTTTCTGCTCCATGATACCTTCAGCAAAATGTTGCCCTGTTTCTACTTTGGATTGATTTTTAAGTTATCAGTGGCATTTCAATGGCACTACTTCTGTATTAAGGATGTGAAAAGTGGCTGCATTTGGTTTGAACAATGTATTTCTCACGGTAACCCACAAAGGGCTCAGCTTTCTGTTTTGCAGCAGGAAGCAGTCGCTCAGCTCAGTGAATTAATGAACAAGCTGCTAGCTGACAGTGCATATGCCTTGGATCTTGGTTCTGGAACTTAAAAGTCGCTTAAAAAGAAGCATTAAATGGCAGTATTGTGTGTGTGCAAGAGTGGTTCAGCTGTCTGCTAGGAAAGCTTTCTCATTGTGGTTAGTTCTGGGTTAGCTTGCCCCAGAGGATTACAGAATCTCCATAACTGGAGGCTTCTAACAAAGAGCAGACAAATGTGTCTCCGGAGTCAGGCAGGGACACACTGACAGGCCTATCCCGCAGGCCTCAGGGGAGCTGCTGCCCCAGGGCAGCCTGTCCAGGCCTCAGGGCTGTCTGGAAAATGGAAATTCACCTGCTCAGGTGGAGCAATTTGCACAGAACACCCGTGCTTATTATATTCATGTTCCTTCTCATCCTGCTCCAGCCTTAGGTCCCGTTCGCTCCCTCTCGTTCCAGGTGCCGCAGGCGTGTGCCGGCTGCTTTGCTCAGACCTGCACCAGGCTCACCTGGGGCCTTCAGCCGGGGAAAAGCATCCAGGAGGAGCGGCTGGGATGCTCCAGGCTGGCAGTCAGCGGAGAGCTGGACATGGTAGGAGCTGGTTGTGGGAGCAGAGTGCCTGGTGCAGGACATGATCCCTTCCAGCCTCATGCAGAGGCTGCTGTTCCATGTGGCTGCACTTCAGGGGTTCACTTTCTGGGAGAGGGAGAACCATTTGGCAGAATTCCACATTGAAGCTATTGGAAAACTATTTCATATTATTAGCCACACCACAGGTCAGAAGTATTAGTAACAGTCATTGAGTTTCCCCTTCTTTGTCCAGTTCAGGGGTAGGCATGATAACCAGGGTACTTTTAAACACTGCAGTCAGTTACATTTTATCTACTTCCAGAGTTACAACGGAACCCTGTAATCTTTGTGATCCACACTTAATGAAATGGGCTAGAGAACTTTCAAGCAGGTATCTTTTTATTGTAGAAGAGTTTATATATTATATTAAATTTGGACTATATTCAAACATAAATGTACTTTAATTACATTAATAATTTAAACAATGTTTAAATAAAGCACCAAGTTAACTTGATTTAAATAACTGATTCAGTTTCCACACTGATTCCTACAAAATCCCGCTATTTTCATGCAGTGTTTGAAGAACTGGAGGCCAGAGCTGATTTCTTAGTACACACTAACTACAGTTCAAGTGCTCTGCACACAAGGGGAAAGTTAACAAAGTCTGAGACAGGCTGGGTTTTGAAGCAGAACTCCTACAAAAGGATTCAGATCTGAACATGGACTGGGTTGCTGAGCTATTTTTCTACCTTCCATGTAAACTATTTCCACACATTCAAGTTATTTCAGTTTAGTTCTCTGTACTAACCTCTACATTATAGGAGAAACAGTTTTTACCTTGTAAATCAAGAAGCAGCTTTTACTTAGAAACAGCAGTGTTAAATTCCATGCCCCCAGCAAACTCAGCTAAATGCGATTCATTCAGTGTAATGTAGGCCCACTTTTATCTAAATAAGACCAAAAGAACCTGACAACATAGATACAGGAGATTTTATTTAACATTGTGTACAAAGAAAGGCTACAAATGCCTTAAGACATTTTTCCCCCAAATACAGTTCTTGGATCCCTTTTTCATATCACTTTTCTCAGAAAGTTAAAAAAAAAAATCCAGAATGACAATTTTTCCCTTCCCCCTTCTCTTTGGGCCTAAAGTGAGAGATGTTTAGCAGTATGGTTTCAACACCTTTCCATATTTAAACTATTAGGATTAAGTTTTCTTTCCTCAAAACTGAGCACTATGAGATACTGAAGCACTAGCAACACTAGCAGGATAAAATGTCAAAAACTGACTCCCTAACATGGTAGTGTTTAAAATAATGCCAACAGTATTAGTTCTGATGAAACCCAAAATTATCCAAACAATAAGTTGTTTTCTTCTACATCTGATAATTTAAGACTAATTATATAATTTAATTGTATTTATATTTAAATAAATAGTCTTAACTCCTTTCCTTCGAATTCTTCATGGATTATAAACACTTATAATACTAGAGATAAGGACAAACTACACAACTTACATAGGCAAGAGAAGGCTGAGTTGTTTTGGTTTTTTTTTTTTTTTTGCTGGACAGACACAGAAAGGACAACATTTCAGTGTCCTCCTGTGAGATAATTTTTAAATCCACCATTTCATTGTGATGCTTTTCAGTTATCCCAATGCAACAATTCCTTACCACCTTTTTTCTACCTTGTTAATCACTTTAAGTACTCCTGAAACATTGGTCCCTGCACAGCTAAGTTTTATCCAGGATTCTCCAAGTTTTGTATGTGACTGTGAAACCCAAGACTTCTTTTAGGCTGTAAGAAGCAGTAAAGTAGGCAGGGAGTAGAAAAGGCTCTTGTAGAAAAATGACCTTTTGCTATAGCAACTTTCACATTACCATCTACTATATATGAAATAGGTTTTAAATATAGATTGGTTTTCAGCTATTTCTATAATCCCAAATTAGGACTGTCCCTGTTTCTCCCAAAATGTGACAAAGATAGAGAAATTTTGAGCTACTCTCGATCAGCATTTGATCCCTTGGTTGGGTGCAGTAAGAAGGAACTCACAGCTGCCTTCTGAGCCTCAGCAAACTGCCCCAGGGGAGATGGGAGAGCCCAAGCAGCAGCCAGGCCTCTGCTCACTGGTGGGCTGGACCGGCTCTGACCCTCGCTTGGGGTCATCTCCAGGAAGCTGCTGGAGTCTCCTTGCAAGCAGGAAGCTGTTTTGTACACAAGCCTGCCCTTTTGTACATGCACAGGGATATAAAATGCCGTGTGGTATAAATCATTCTGCAGGTTAGAGAAACAGCTCATCTGTAGAATGTCTCAGATTCTCAGAACATCCTACCACGGGGGAAAAGAACACAGCAGTTACACAAGCAAAAGCTCTAGTGCAAAATAACTTTCTCTCTTCTTGTGAACCATTTTTGACAAGGGGATTTGAACATGACTGTGATTAAGACAAAGCAGCAGAGCAAACACTTCTGCTAGGCTTGGGCATTCTGTAATTATATTAATTCCCAAATATGCTTGAACAGCTGTAAATAACAGAATTGTACTTAGCTCACAACACAGCCCTGCGTGAGCCCAGAACTTACAGTACTACCTAGTCCACTCTGCACAAGAAGACTGGAAATATTTAAATTATCTCCAGGGCTCTGCTCTAAACTGAACCTCTCTGTGTAGTAGTTGCCACAGTGCAGAAAGATGTGAAGTGGTTCTGTTGGGAAAGGAATGCTCTGTCTTACTGTGAGGTGAAATATGGCAGCTGGAAAAAAATTATGTAAAAACTGCTGCATATTTTGCAGTGGTCGCTAGCAATGTCACTGTAAGATGGTAACACAAGAATCAACAGTGGAGGCAAACTAGGTAATTTAATAATTTTCTAATTCTCAACAAGAGTATTTATGAATTTGCTTGACCTAAGAGGCATAAATCTAATGATATGGTCATGGAAGGGAGACTCAAAACAACACATACACTCAGGTTTGCTTTGGTCCTACTGCCCCAACGCTTCTGTCATTACAGCTGTTGTGCCTTTTTATCCTTGCAGCCCAAAACCAGACTTCTAGCTTAAACAATAGTCCAACTTTGTGGTTCTAGGAGCCTTTTTCTTCCTTGTGGTGGTTCACCTATGTTAACATACAGGTGCTACAGCTGCTGCCTCAAGGGGAAATGGTAGAGAGCAAGTGGTAAGCTTTGCTTTCTTAGCACTGAACTGTGAATGTTCACTAGCAAGAAAGAGGGGTTGCAGCACATAAGAATTGTGAGGCTGCTGAAGCTAAATTCCTGGCATTCCCATGTTCATGTTTATTTATTGGCAAGAGAGCCTTTGCTCAGTTATCGAGGGCATGAGCCACCTTCCGTAACTCAAAATGAGAGCCTCATCTAGTCCCAAGCAATGTGGCCTTGAGCAATTCTTAAGTTTGCTTCCCTTTCCCATGTGTGATGGTTTCATTCCCTAATGATTATTAAGGAACAGTCTATTAACTATAAGTGCTTCCTTTATAGCTTCTGTTGATTTTAAGGGCAATCCATAGATTTAATTCTATTCAATTAGAAAGCTCACAGAACACACATGAACATTTATTTCATCCTAGTTCAGAATGGAGAATTGCTAATACTAGTCCAAGGCTCCAGTATCTCAGTTGTACAGGCCCTGTGTTAAAGAAACAGAATGGAACCATTTTTACTTTTCACTAATAGTAGTAGGACAGTGTTAGCAAAGTCTACAAAGAAAAACATCCCTGGAGTAGAAAATTAAGAGGGTGTAAACAAGTGACTAGCTACAAGAATTTGATTAATTTGATTGTATCTAGGAACTGCCCTTTCAGATTTTTCTTCTTCAAGGAACAGAAGTAAATCCCCCCTCAAGTTCCTGCACAAATGTATTGGTCTTCTGTTATTACAAGTCCTTGTCATCTTGAATTAAAGTAAAAAGAGAAAGGGGAAGTTTTTTTCTTAAAACATTTCCCATTTTATACTAAAATTTCCATAAGAAGAATGCCACACCTGTTAAAGTTATCACAGTAGGTGACCAAGCAGTGAAACAAAAAGATTACCTAGTGAGGAATCAGAGAAAGTTGGGGTTTTGCCATCAGACTTTAAACATGTTTAAAACCACATTGGTCAGTTTACATTTTATACACCCTTGAAAGAACAGCACATTAAGATAAATTAATACATTGTGATGCCTTTCAGTGTTACACAGTGACAAACTAAACTGGAGATCCAGGTCTGCCTTAAGGAACAGTCCATTTGTTTAAATAAACTCATAGAAAACTAACAGGAACAACCATAAAAGAGTTTTAAACAGGTAAAATTAATAAACTGTAAAAATCCTGCACCTCCCATAAATATCCTCTGTGGTTCCACCACCTCATGGCCAACACCGCGAGGGCCGGACGATTCCGCGTGTGCGCGACGACGGCCAGAGCCGAGGCGGGCAGTGGGCACCGGCAAGGACGGGCACCCCACTGCTGGATTTTGCCTTAGCTATACACTGAAAAATAGCAGCATTAAAATACAGCCTGAAATAGCTTAGCTACTACCTCAACTTGTTAAAAATGTGCAAGAATAAAGAACACCAGCAGCATTTGAATGGATGTATTTCAATTTGGTTTCTGACACTTCCCTCCCATACAAAGCATACACAAACACAAAGCTGACTCTTGAGCTCGTAACTGTAATTTCTTGTCCATCTTTGAAAACTTTTCCCTTCATTTACTTAACTTTAAAAAATTTTACTTAAAAACCTTTTCAGTGTTAAAAAAACCCACAAGAATTTTAAGGTAGTTTCTATATGCCAAAAAACTGATGCTTATTCCTCTCCTTAAGCTGGAGAGACACAGACTATCCTAATCACCTGAATTTCCTTAGCTGAAAATTTAAACATTTCAGATTCCTGTTCCTGAAAGTGACACTTGTAAAAAAGTCTCTCCAATACATTAGAAACTGAAGGAGCAAAATCTCCCAGTGCATACATAAAGGGCAACCTTTTGCTAGTTTGCTCTTGTGTTGTTTACATTGTACCTTTTAACTTAGAAAATTAAAGAGTTCAGTTTTCTGACACAACTCACAAGGGATAAGAGGAGAAATCAGAAGGCCTTTTCTAAAGCCAAGTTTTGCATTTCCCTTTTTGTTTAAGTATGATAAGGCTTATTAAAAAAATAAAATGAAAATAAAACCCAAAACACAAAAAAAACCCTCCAAACAAACAAAAAACCCCAACCAAAATCCCTGGGAAAAAAAAACCCATAAAAGCCTTTTTGGAAATACTTAATTTCTGAAAACATAAGACTATTGAAAAAAATTAATTGCAAAATCAAAGGAAATTCAAGAAATCAATTCTCGTATTTCAAATCAGTCCATTATTTCATCATCAGCAATAAGATCCACTATCTTTTCCAGCCCAAAATTACCAGCTTTGGGGAAAACATATTCATACTTAACAGAAATAATTAATGGGTTAAGTTAAATTAACTTTTTTCCCTGATCCACATGCCTGCATGTTAGATAACATTTCATTAGAACTGAGCATTGTAATGAGAGACTGACAGCAACAACCTGTCACAGTAACCAAAGCAAAAGCAATTTTCTCATGGTTACATATTATAGATCAGTAATCTAATATTAAAATTAACTTCCTATATAAATAAAAAATAAAAAGTTGGGCAAAAGTAAATTGGCACAGTCATTATGGTATTACTTTCCAGTTTCAACACTGCAAGGAGCAGCCACAGATTCCAAACACCAAAGGAAAAGGCCATCACCCAGCACCAGGTGTAGCTAGGGTTTTCTCCCTTTTCCATGAAGTCATCAGCAGTGCTCCTGCCTCAGCTCCATCCCCCCGAGTGGGAGCAGGCAGGAGTGCAAGGATTGCTGTAGAGCTCCTGGGGAAAAGGGAGAACAAATACAGAGGAACAAACACAGAGAATGCTTTACTGCTCTGCACGACATGGCTCAAGTCAATGGTTTTTCAGGATTGTGACCAATTTTTACCTTCAAACAGGCAAAAAACAAATCTAAAAATTTTAAAAAATCAAAATCTTAAGCCTTCAAGTTTCCTTGCCTTCATTCCCTCCCTCCCCCAAAAAGCACCTCCTACTACAGACAGTTTTTCTTTTTTGCAGGTTCAGAAGTTGGAATGTTGTGGAAATACATACAAGAGAGAAGGAATTTCTAGTTGTACATTACATTACAAAGAGGTTTGCTCCCAGACCTAAGGAGGGAGGGATACTAAGCAATATTAAATTCCTATAAGAATCCTTACAAAGCATGCAAAATATTGATATACTCACAAAATTGAAATTTATATTTGTTCCTTTCTGATTTCGCAACTTCACAGTACAATAATTTCTAATATTCTGCAGCAGTCAGAATTACAGTGACTACAAAATAATTTCCCTTTAATTTTTTTCTATTTGCTTGAAACACTCCTTTGCTATTTTTTTAAATTGAGAGTTTGCAGATGACCCATCAGAAAATGCACAATTCAGCACAAGAGGAGTTGCTTTCTGTGTCATTTTTCCCTGCAAATGATGTAGACAACCTGATCCTAGCAATCTTTCAACATCTGTCCCTCCCTCCCCTTTTTGTGCCAATTCCTTCCCTTGTCTTCCAGCTGTACTTCTTGCCAGGATGATGATGGACAGATGCCACTAAAAGGATGCTGCATAGCTGGGTAGGAGTAGCAGGGGCTGGAATAGTTTAGGACAATGGCATCGATCCCACCCCCAGGATGTTTGGCACAACTCTTCAGAGCCAGAATGCTGGCTCTGGATACCAGCAATTTGATTCTGCAGTTTCAATTCCCTGGACAAATACTGCTGCCTTTCCAACCCTGTAGCTTCAACTGATTTAGGGAGGGAAATACAAAATTGGTGTTTGGCCAGACCTTTTGTACTGCTAGATGGAGTTCTACAGAAATTTCTCCACTGCTCTTAATTAAAACAGAGTTGGAATTTCTGGAGAATCCACAATGCATGCTACTTGCTAGATTGTCCAAAAAGTACATTCTGGCATTTTTTCAGAGCGTTTGTATCTATCAGAAAAAGACTCTTGTAGAAACAATGTACAAAGCCTCCAAAAATTCAAGTATCAAAAAAAAAAAGATGTTCTGATAAAAAGTCTGGAGTAAGCAGCCAGCCAAACTGAGAGCCATTGATTTTTTTTAAATCCATAAATTCTTCAATTACTTTTCAGAAATAATGTGTTTTCTTTGGAGTGTTGGGTATTAAGTCTTCCTAATTAATTTTCATTAAGTTTGGTGGGGTCTAAGGAATTTAGCAATCCTTCCTGGATACCAGTGCCCTGCTTTTATAAGTAAACAAACAACAGAATCACTAACTGTTATTCTCCCTGCCTCTCTTTAATTTGCTGTATTTATTTCTTAAATTTTATTGAGTCTGTCTCAACCCAACAAAACCCATCAGAAGTGCAACATAGGCAAGAGCAGGGCATCTCCTTCCCTGGGGTGTACAAACATTTCTATGGGAAAGGCTGGGTGAGCCAAAAAAACCATACAAACAAAATAAAAAACAGCCAGCCCCAACCAGACAACAGTTCTAGCTGTACATAAAACTCTTTGATTTCTTTAGAACCATATTCAAATCAAGACTTGAATTTCTGTGGAGAGAATTTTAGATCCCAGACCCTTCTCTTCTCCTTCCTCTTTGCAAAGCAATGCTATTTTTTGTGGCCTCAAACAGTACTTGAAAAACAGCAGTTATTAAAGACACAGTTGTGATATATCATTTAACGCCCCCTCTTCCAAAAAGAGGTGTCCTATCAAGTGGTCCAGTAGAAATCTTGAAGTTTCTTTATGATAAATTAAATCCACAAAATGAGGAATACCTTCTGTCACATTCCTAGCAAGAATAATCACCACATTCTGTGGTGCATTTGTCCAAGTGTCTATTGCTCCTTCTAGTGGAGACTCCGCACAGCTCCATCTCCGGTTAGTTCTGGTTCTACCAGCACAAGGAGGTTTTTCTCCATTCTCTCCAGCTTGTCTCCCGGTTAACAAACTGCAGAAGCACTGAGGGCCAGAATTCCCCAGCACAGGAACAGGTCAGTCCAAGGACACACCAGTCATCTTTTTCCCAGGGTGACAGAGTTATGCCAAAAGCAGTTTGTGTCCCGTTGGTACCGCAGGCACCTACACCTCTGTAGAAAAGAGAATGCTTTGCCTCTTGCTGTCTGGGGTAGGAATAGTCTCTAGCTGCAGGAAGTACAGAAGAACTTGAACCTGGAAAGAGAAATGACAAGGTAATACTAAAGCCCTGTAAAAATTCATTCTCATCCTGGCTATGTGAGAGCTGGTGATACAGCTCTCTCTGGGACACCTAGCAGCAGTGTATTTAATATGCTGGATAACAGCAGTAAATAGTAGAACTTGACATGGTTCAGAGAAATTATTTTTATATTCCAGGTGGAAAAATTGTGCTGGTACTTCCAGCACTGAAGAAATTAAATCTAGAATTTGCCATTACTCAATGGAGAAATACAAACCGGTCTGACTCAGTGACACAGGCTCTGTGCTCTGCCTTCAAAGGCAGCAGTGGCCAAAGAATTTTGTTGTGCATCAGTGAAGATGGTTTAAGTACTGAGGAGCATTGTGGAAACACTGCCAATTCTTTTGTCCCAGGCCAGCAGCATGGTGCTGGGACACAGCTCCCCAAAAACTCTTCCCATGCACAAGCACACACAGGATGCACACACACAGACATTCCTTCATGAAAAGCCATATTTGTACAGATGCAAATTGACTGCCTGAAGGAACACTGTTCTAAAATAACTAAAATGTCTGTGCGAGGGCAAAAGTTGTTTTATGTTTACCAAGAAAATGACCATGAAAACCCGGGGGTGGGGTCACTGAGCCAGGCCTGCCATAGGACTGTGCTTTCCCAGAAAGTGTCTTCACAAGATGGAACGGCACATTCAGGATTTTACCTGGGACATGACTTCTAGTGACCAGCTGTCAGTCATTGTGATGGGCTGGGTTGGGTTAGCAGGGATTTTACTGTCCTTCTCTGAAGGTCTGAGCAGTGTTGGTCCGAAGACAGTGGCAAGATTATGCAGGGACATCTTGTTGATGCTTTCCCTCTCAGCAACCCTGGGAGAAGAAACAACACACAAGACAGACCTTCATAAATATCTGAGTTTTATAAATGAGAAACCAAGGCACAAAGTTTAAAAAATTTGCCCAAGGGCAGAAACGTCTGGAGCAGAAACACAATTAAAGCCCAGATTTCCGGGATTTTAATCCAGAATCTCAATCACAAGATGATCTTTCATGTCTCCAGGGACAGCCTGTGGTATATACAACATACTTATGCAAATCAACACATTGGGCAAACATTAAGCCAGCTTATTGCATTAATGTCAAATGTATGGCAATAGTTTTTCAGAGGTACAACCATATTACAAAGACATATACAAAATCAGAAATACTTGACTACAAAAGGAACTGACAACTGCAGATAGGCAAAGTGCTGGAATTAAAAAAATAGATCATACTGGATTTCGGACACCTTCTGAGACAGGGTTCCCTAGACCTTAAATAGTGGTAAATCATCATGGTTCATACAGAAACCTTTCTGGTCTGTGTATACAGATGCAGGTGCAGTCTCAGCGACCCTGCAGCAGAAATTTGCATTTGCAATAGATAAGCCCTGACTCTTTTTTTACTCCTTTCCTCCAGTTCTAATCCTTTTTCAGTATGAGTGGAAATGGAATTCAGGATTTACTACCTCACTAAGTGAGTATGAGACAATAGTTATCTGATGAGCATTCACAGCAGATCAGCAAATACTTCTTCATTTCTGTGATTCAGCAGGTATTTAAAGAAAAGGCTCCACTTTTCAAAATAACTGATGCTTTACACATTAAATGTGTTTCTGAAGGAACTACATATTACCTTTTTAAATGGTCCAGAAGGAAAAGGAATGTCACAAGGTTGGGTTCTGGAAGTGATAGCAACAGATTCAACATACAGCTCTCCTTTGCAACAGGATCTGAAAGTGCTACAGGACAGAGAACGAGACATCACCACAGGCAGCGAGCACGAATCTGACTGAACCACGTCCCAGAACAGCCAATACAGATGGTCCCAAAAGGTCTGTGACTACATCATTATAAGCTGGAAGGTCAGAGTTGCACATCAATACCCCCAGCATCTCATTCCTTCATTTCACAAATGCATTAAGAATCCTTTTCTCTCTCTTTCAAAGCAGTTCAAGTGCTTTGAGGCTTTCAATCATTTATGTTTTTCTCTGCATCACAGTAAGATGAGGTACATACCCCCCTCCCCTCCAAAGGGGGCTTCCCTGAAGCCTGCCTGGGCAGTGAGTGTGCAGGGCCCCAGCAGACAGGCTGGCATTCTGTTCTCAACCTGTCCTTCAGAAACCTGGGCTTTTGCAGTTTGCAGAACATCATGGCACGTGCCCATACTGCACCACGTGGGAAGGCAATGCCATTCTGAGCTCCATTCCACTCCCTTCACAGCTTGTTCCAGCCTTTGTCCAACACTATAAATATGCGTTTTATGATGCTTTAAAGCAGCCTCCTACAGAAGAGTCTCCATTACCAAGGGTTCCTTGTGCTGCACCTACCGATGCCTTCAGCAAAGTTGGGGTACAGTTCGTCTGTGAAGAGGGGCTCCGGCAGCTCCCGGAAGTACAGTTTGAGGGTGCCTGCAATGGCATTAACGTCCATCTCACTCATCATCACTGACACATCCTTGTTATCTGCAAGAAGGGAGAGTAGAGGAAGGGTAAAGGAACTGCTGGCCTTGCATTCCTTCTTTTCCTCGCTTTGGGTCTGTTTGTCTTTCATCTCTGCCCAAATAGCTGGGAGTTTTCCTGTTTACATTTCTCCGATTAAATGAGCAACCTTCCAGCTGAGAAGCACTGTACAAATGACTGCAAACACTTCATTGCTTTACGTCAAGGCAGGGAACCTCACCCTCTCAGGGCTAGCTGTGCTGTGCCAGCAGACCTGGCCTGATCTGAACAAGCCCCACTTGACTGTATTTATATGCATTTCAACTTTTATTACTGACAGCAGTTGTTGTTCCAATTCCCTGCCTCTAACAGCTCAGACTAAGAGACTCTGAGATTCTCTAACTCCCCACTAAGTGTAGCTAAGGCAATTCAGGGCTTATATTTCCATTTTGTTACTATTAAGAACAACAAAACCAGCCCCTCTCCCAGAATTAAACACCAACTAGCATTGGCTTCATAAAGCAGTGTAAGCCAGCATTTAACAGAAATGAAAAAAGATGTTTTTCAAACTGTGAAAGACCCTTACTTCCACTAGCAGTGATTCATCAGTGGTTTTTGATATCTTAGGCTCATTGAAAAGAAAACACAAGAAGGAAATTTCACTAGAAACTGAAGGAAAAGTGCATGGAGGGTGAATTTTGGTGTCTGGCCCAGATCTTGTGACTGATGGAATGTGGCTTGAACAGTTCTTGGACCATCACATGGAAGCTGGAAGTAAGAAAAAATTTCACTTTCTGTACCTCAGCAATTTGGAGACATTTCACCTGCCTGATCTCAGGTGCACTTTGTGACATAGAGGCCACTCTTTTAAACGTAGCACCAGTAAGGAGCCTTTTTCTGCTCAAGATCAAAGACAGCTTTGCAAAGGTTGCTCAAAGTGATCTATTTTCTAAGCCTGCACATCAGTCCAGATGGAGGTAGGGTGAGAAGCCCTGACCACCCAACCCCAGTTTCATAAATACTCCTCCTAGTTCTAAGGAACACTGGCTTTCACAAAACATTATTTATTTTAAGGGCTTCTATTAATTTGGACATCTCACAACAGTGAAGAAATTATGACTTCTGATTGCTGATGTTTTCCCCCAGAGAGGTGTCTGCCATTTAAAAAGATTTGGCAAGGCAGGTAAAGCCATCATTTTGCATCTGCTTGGAAGAATTAAAAAAGTATCCATCTTGTTGTATGTCTTGGGTTATATCAGTAAATAAAATATGCAGCTAGGGTTAAAATTGTTTTCCTTGAGTGAGAATCTTTACTTCTTAATGCTTCTTGGGCAACATAAGATTAAAAATAGCACAGCCACCTGACAGGGAGCTCAGGCAGGTTCTCAGAGAGCAAAGGGAAAAATCAGACCCAAATACTTACTGACATCAAAGGCAGCTTTCAAAGCCTGGATGTCGGTTGCAACCCCAGAGACGCGGTAGATCCCCACCTCCTCCATCCCGCGCCGCTCGATCTCCTCCACGCACTGCCGCACGATGTACGGCACCTTCGACCTCTCTCTCCTGAAGAAAGCCAGACAGAAGAGTTCAGTTCAGCCCAGGCCCTCCGTGCCTGTTCCCCAGCCAGCCAGGACGGCCACAAGCATTTTCCTGTGCAAACCTCTTCTGGAAAATGGGGTGAGAGGAAGTCTGACAGGCAGTCAGGAGCGAGCTGAAGAGCTCCTTTTAAAACTGGAGAGGGTTTTCTGACTGTCTCAGCCTTGCTCTGGCTGTTCTGCAGCCTCCCTGAGCACTTGAGCTCTTGGCCAGGTCCCAGTGCCCTCAGAGCCTACGAACTCTGCCCAGGTAATCAGAGGATTCCCAAACAGCCCTTGGATACATGGCAACTCTGTTGCTTTCAAACTGATGCAATACCATGGGGAGGAAATACCACATTTCCCAAACCATACAACAGAACAAACAGATTTCTGCTGGCAAATGATTCATGACAAAAGATCAGGGGTTAAAATAATACAATGGGATCCAAAGACCTTGAACATTTTTGATTATGGAAAGGAAACATCACTGTTCAGTGGCTCTGGAAATTTGTGACCATGTCAGCTAACTATAGAGAAGGCAAGTGCAAGGGGGATTTCCGGAATTCAGAAGATAGGCTGTCAGTAAATAGCCTGTCTGCACGTTGGATTTTATCTCTGCAAAAATGAAGCTCAGAGATTGTAAAGCATCTCCTGTCTGCAGCCACATCTACACTCCTACACTAATGGAACAGGCTGGACTGCCAAACCCCTGAGGGGGACACAGGCAAGTGCACCCCACTGGCCAGCTGTCTTCCTGAAACACAAGAAATGTGTTTCAAACGGGGAGAAATGTGACCCATCAGCTCACTTGGTGACAATAGCAATCTTGACCCCAAACACGCCCGTCTGCTTGCGGGATGGCATCCTTTTCAGGCTGAACTCCCGACTGGTGAACTTCACTGACAGCTTCACTTCCACCTGAACCAAAGAGAACAGCTGTTACTTTTTAAACATTTTCTTTTTTTTTTTCATGCTGCAATGAAGAGCAAAGAAATAAAGCCCACAGGAGGTACAGAAGCAGAGCTAATTTCTGTTTGCCACACTTACCCCATTCATTGAGATGACTGTGCGCTGCCAATCTTTGTCCTGCAGTGCCTGTGGGTCCAGCTGGAAAACAGAAGTTACCCATGAGCTAGGAACAGACTTCAGAGAAACCAGCTAGCCTGGAAGGCTTCTGCAAGTCAGCAGAGCAAAATCACTTTTACCTTGTTTATTTCTTTTCCATAGAAAACCCCACACTCCAAAGTTACCCTGGTTTCAGGGAAACCAGGCTTTGGATATTGTGCAGTTCTCTAAACAGAGCTGATGAGGGGCTAATGAGGGTTCATACACATGGAAAAACCAGCAATATGAGAGCAGTGTCTGCTCAACAATAAAGGCAACCTCAGGGAGCACAACTAACGTTTGAATCTGCTGATAAATCATGGAAAGTTGTCCTTCAAACAGCCTATTCCTTTTCATTTCCATTTGAGCATAGAGGCAGGAAGAAGACCAGGCCCTGCTATTGCAAACACTCATTAAACAGAAACAAGTTCCAATCTCTCAATGTCAGCTTTGCTTGATCTCTTGAGTGGACAGTTGTGAGGCTGGGGAGCAGCTGACTCAAGTGTTAGAATGTCACCCAGTAATTCCACTACTGCCTCGGGAGAGCCCAAACACATCCGAAGGGCTGAGGAGTGGCACTCAGCTTCAGGGAGACTGGCAAGAGAGAGGAGGAGCTGTCTCCCTGGGGGTTTGATCTGCCATTGGAACCAGCCAAAGCAAGAATTCAGTGCCTCCTGAGACAGCTTGGCTCTTGAACACAGAGGCACAGTAAGACCAGGAGGAGGCAACTGCAGCAAACTCTGTTTTGAGTTTGCTGCTGTCAGCAAACAGGCAGTCATAACCAGAGCTGCTTTGCAGCACAGCTCCCCCCTCCCACAGAGCCCCATGCAGGGCCAGAGAGCTCTGGCAGGGGAGGGAAATGCTGAAACAATGGCAGCTGCAGGAAATTCTGGGAGAGCTTAGACATGGTCATGGTCGCACTCAGATCATCAACAGAGCAGCGCAGTGCTGCTGACAGCTACAGAGACAAGCCCCCACCTTAACCTTCCCCACTCCCCAAAGAAAGGCAAGCACAGAGAGCAAAGTTCCTCCCTGCTTCCTCCCACTGCAGAGACCACAAGCAGCAACAGAACAAGCGAGGCCAACCTTATCCCTGCGCGCTCTGTTACGGACGTGAGCCCACAGCGGGATGATGCCAGCACACACATGCTTCCCTGTTGAATTGGACCGGCTCCTGTAGGTGCAACGCTGGCAGAAATTCCTGAAGAGCCCTTGCAAGGAATTGTCAGTAACCTGCAGCTCCCACATTATGGGACTGTGCAAAGGTCCAGGGGGCCGATGGGCAGCAGTGCTTGGCTCCAGTGCCTCAGTGACCCCAAACACAGGACTGCTCGCCAAGGGGGTTCGCTTTTAACTCCGCAGAACAGATCCGCCCCGCCTGTGGGGCTGGCCAAGGGCCCTACAAGCTGGCCAGTTTCTAGGCTGTTCTACCCTGAACTTCCGTGCTGGAAGTTTGATTTCTTTCAACAACGGAATTCTTTCCCAGAATCAAGAGGAAACCATTTCTGAAGTGTCTGGTTTCCTATGAGGAGTAACCATGCTAAGTATTCCTGAAAGCTTGATCTCCAGCTCTGAGGAGTCATCTGGTTAAGCTGCCAAAATGGCCCTGCTGATAGACACAGTCACACAGTCACAGCCAATCCTCTTGCTGGGAACCAGTTTTCCATACACTTTTAGAACAGAATCACTGAGTGTATTATTTATAGCAGGGAGTTATATTATTTATAGTTTAAAACTAAAGGGGAAAGAGGGTTTGAATATTTGCCAAAAACTTTAGAGGAAGAGTCCAGCAGAATCCAGTTGTAGTTTATTTAAGCTAAGAGGTATTATTGTGTATGTCTCAGTAATGACCAGGGAATTCCTGCCACGGCACAAAACAAAATCAAGTAAATAGCTGTTAAAAAATATGAGTCAAACACCATCCTGCTCTGTCTCAAAAGTAACTTTGGCACTGCTGCAAAGAACAAGCAGAAGCAGAGTGCTGGAGCTGAGAATTTGCAGACTTTTCCTTGCTGGAGCTGAGAGCTCACAGAGATGTTTCCTTGCTGGATAACTGCTGGGGCTGAGCCAGGAGCACAAGTAAACCTCCATGTACCTGCTGCTGCCTCTTGCTCCCTTGTTTCTGAACTCTCCTGCAGAGCTGGCAGGACCCCTGCACTCCCTCCTACTGTTAGACTCCTGCTGGAGAATGCCTTGTACTGAATGGGGACAGCCAGGGAGAACAGGCACCAGGGCTGGCTGACCCAGCCAACCCTGCATAAATCACTGGTAATAACAACAGTAATTAAGGGGAAAAAAACCCCAAACTCCTCCAAGGTGTTTTTTAAATAACAAAGCAAAATGATGGAAGCTATTAAAGGAGCAAAGCTTGAATAAACACTCAGCAACACTGAGACAGGAAGATCAGGTCTAACAGTCTGATAAGTCACAGCAGGACATAACAGAGTCAACAGGAAACCAAGAACTGTCACTGGGATTTCAATCAAGCTTCAGTCGTGGTCCCAAGTGATGACTGATCTTCTGAGGCCAGCAAGAGCAACAGAGGGAAAGGGCAGCTAGAGCAGGCAGGGAGAGAGCACACTGAGGACAATGAGCTAGCAAGAGTGGTGCTCCAACACAGAGGACAAATGGGGCCATACAGTCTTCTGGCCTGATTTGGAGATCAGTGACCTGAAAGAAGGAACACTGAGTAGAAAAATGCAATCCACAGCCAGCATGGCAAAGGGAGGCAGCTCTGAGCAAGCTGTGCCAGCTCAAGCAGGGGAGGCACTGTGCAGCTCCTGCCTCTGCATTTGACAGTGGAATTTACTGCTCCTCTACACAGCTCCTCCAGACAGTTCCTTGGTTTGAGTGACCTGCCCCATCTCTGCTGAAGCAGAGCCACTGTGCTGTTTCCATGCTCTGTGCAAATAGGACAGACCTGCTAAAACCCTCACAGAGTGCACTGCATGGGCTTCTTTGCACAGTCCCCACCAAAAGCTCATGCTGAACAGGAAAATACAAACCAACCCACTCTGCCTCTTTGCTGCTTCCTCCAGCCCCCTTGTGGCCTTTGGTATTTGCAGTGGCAAGCTACGGCCCCAAATTCACTAATGAATCAAGCCAATATCTCTCTGTATCCTGCCCAAAACACAGCAGAACAAAACAGCTCAGCACCACAGGGGTTACTGAGTACAGGTCTCTGGTCCTTGTAGCAGCTCAGCTGAATTCAGACAGGACACAGCAGTCAGCAAAGGCTGAGAGTGCACAGCAGTGTGGTGAGAACCTGGAGAAAGACAAACTGAGGATGCTTCTCAAGCAAATGCAAGCCAGGCACTAGGAAGGGTGTTTATGCTCTGCCCTAGGAAACCACTACAGAGAGCTTGATTATGATTTCCTTTCCCCCAGAGAGAAAAGAAAACATGCAGAAGGAGAGAAAAACAAAGAAGCCTCAGTGGAAATGAAAGACCATGGACTGTGGAACATTAAAGTTAGTGTGTTTTATGTATTCATTCACATTACTTCTTCCCTTTATTAAATTTCCCGGGCAACTTTACACTCCATCAATTTTGAACTGTAACTAATGTGACATACATGTTATCAGAGTCTCACTGCTGCTGGGAACTCCCAGTCCTGCCATAATCCCATTCTTCTCACAGCTCCCCACTGACAGGTTAATCTTTTCCACCATCCCCCTTTAGCCATGACCCGTTGCCTTCCTCATTTCCCCCCTATTTTCATTGCTGGGACAATGTTCTGCTTCAGCAAACTGTTTAAACAAGCTTGAGTGAATAAAAGGTTTCCAAGTTAACATCTGGGAGGTACAGCATGGGACACTCTGGTTTACATGGAAAACAACCTAATGCCTGAAATAGCCATGGGCACTGCTATGAGACATCCCAGATAATTCAGATAAGAGTGATTGTTCTGCAAGGCAACAGAGGAATGGTGCTGCTGCACAGAATGAGTGACCTAAGGTCACATCCTCCCTGATTTTTCAGCACTGCTGTGAGGGAGAAGGAAATATTTAGGTTGAGCTGATCATCCAGAAAAAGAAAACAGCAAAGGAAACGGCATTTCTAGGAGGCACCAGTGGGAGGAGCTGGATCGCAGGGTGAAGTATCACTGCACTCACAGATCCCACGGCCAGGCTGGTCCTGCTGACAAATGTGCCCACCTGGTACAGTCTCAATGCCAAACAAAAGGCTGCTGCACTGCAAACACGGGGATGTGCCTGCCACATGAAGTGCAAAATTCAAGAAGCCAAAGGGCCAGCCAAGTGCCAAAGATGGACTGCAAGGTAACAACAGAAAGAAAAGCCCAGGGTGCTCACAATGAGAGGGGCTTATGCCCAGAGCTGAACTAAGCCTCACATTTCCTCCCATCGTGTGATCTCCATTCTGTCCTCCTCCAGCAATTTCAGTTTCACAGTGTACTCACGAATAGTATTTCTCATGCCTGAGGTGCACAGAAGCCCCAAGCCATGTGTGCCAGTCAGTTCAACACTGCACACCCAGCACTGCTGTGCCCAGGTCAGGTGAGGACTTCACTCCTACATTTACAGGAGGTTCTCCTACACTAAAACCTCATGGGGTTTAGTGTAGATAAAAGAGATAAAAAACTTGAAGATTGGCAAGAAAGAAGCAGCTCTGGTATCTGGCTGTAAAGACAGATGAATAAAATATTCCATAGGAAAAGAAAATATGAGCAATGGGAGCTATTAAAACTGCTTCCCATTCCTGGAAACTTGTGACATGGACCAATTTCCAGCCTTCCTTCCTTCACTGCCATAATGTAACGGAGAGATTTAATAAACATTTTTACAGCCAAAACAGTCCTAGTCTCCTTGATTGTCTTCATCACTGAGGCTCAGTATTTGGTGAGTCAGAATTCCCAGTAGTGGGAAGTTGAATATTTACAATAAGGCATGGCTTAACAATACACTGCAATTTGGCCAACAGAGAAACTTCTCTGTTTTTATCAACAGGAGGATGCAGACACGACTCTTCATGTTCCCAGAGTTTTTAACTAAAAGGAATTTATGAAACAAAAACCCTCACCCAACCTCACAGACCTTTAGACAGACAGACTTGGGCTGAATAATGACAGTGCAACAGCAATCGGAAACCCAGGATAAACTACAAACTCTAAGGTAAACAAAATTTGATATAAAAGCACCTGGGAGAACAGCCAACCTTCAGGCTGTAATCAGATTTTATTGTTGCATTATGGTTTCTTAACAGAGAAATAGTGTTAACTTCAAAAATAGAACTAAACCAAAATCAAAACCTTTAATAATTTTTATCAATCCAAAATCTTACCAGATATTAATATGAGTTTTCTTTGATTCAATAGTGTTCGAAATCCATGATGAGACAGAAATCACTGAAAATTAAGGAGTTATTCTGGCAATTCATCAAGATTCTTTATAAATTGCAAAGGGGATTTACAGAAAACAAGAGAGCTTTTGCAGTGTCTTTTATGAGACAACAGAATGCAACATTTGTACATTGATTGAAAACATTTTAATTGATTTTTTTAACCTTCCCACTGTCTAGGTTTCTCTAAAAGAATCAAGATGCAATTAATATTTAATTGCCATCAAAGAATATTTTTATTTACTTAAGTATAAAATATATTTACAAAAATATACAATTGCTTTGCATAAAAATGCCCACAGCTGTGAGAAGAAAAAAAATTGCCAAAAACTTAAAATATTTTATTTGGTGTTTTTTAAAAAATCTTTCTATGTAACATATTTGTAGAATTTATCAGGTCAGTGATTTCAGGGTTCTCTGTTATGAGCACATAAATCTCCAGGGCATTTCAGGGCTGAAAATTTGCTCTTTTGTAGTTGCTCAGCTCTGTGGAAAATAGCCTTTGTTAGCTGAAGGGACACAGGGATTTCTGGCCAGCCGAGACACACACACACGAGCCAGCCTGTGCTGGCATTTATTGATCTGCACACGAGCTCCCTTCAAATCCCACCATGCATTTGAGACAAAAGCTCCCCCTGAAAACAGCAGAGAAGGAAGAAGAGGCCTGATCAAAGCCATTTAGGTCCTGAACCTGCCAGAGCAAAGGTGGGACGTGATCCCACAGGCCACCCTCCCTCTGAGCTGCTCCTGCGATCCCACAAAGGGCCTTGGCCTGCATGACCATCATTCCAGTGCCAGGGAAAGCTGTCATGCACAGGGAAATGAACAGCCAGGCCTAAATGGAGGGCAACTGGTGGGATCTTTAAACATGACATGGAAGGAAAAGTATCTGGGCAGGGTCCCTGCTCTGTTCAACAGTCACTCCAACACAAAGGATGTGTCCTCAGAGCAGGCATTTAAACACCCTCCTGAAGTTGTGGCCAGACAGTGCAACAAACTAGAAGAACAGGATGGGGGACATATGTTGCCCATGTTTTCCTCCACACAAGGCCTGATTTCTCCTACATCCAGCTTTATTGCTCTATCACAGCTAAAGTGAGCACACAGCTTTAGCAGCTCCCCAAGAGCAGCAGCCCTTTGCAATCATCACCTCCCCCACTGTATTACACATCTGCCATGCAAAGTGTCCCAGGCCAATTCCCAGCAATGGAAATGCTTCTCAGATGCTGCCTGCTGCCATGGACACCACACACTGGGCATGGCAGCCACTAGGACAGGCAGGCTGTCCCAGGGCCTGGCCAACACATCCATCAACTTCCAGCACACACAGATGGCAGCCTTTCTGCACATGATTTACAGAGTAGGGAGAATATTCTTGCATCCTCCTGTCACAAATGAAGCATCTTCACCAGTGCCCAGTGCCAGGGGCACTTCCTGTACAGTGGTGTGGAAGTTTTGAAGTTAATGGGCAAATGAGAGATCAAAACAAGCAGCTATTCCATGGAGCAGGCATAGGGCACAAAGCAAGAGGAACAAAGCTGCTGATTTTCTGCCTGTGAATCACACTGTGTACGTACCTCACTATCTGAGGGAAAAATCTTCAATGCTGAGACAATCAGAAAACAGATGAAACCTCTGCAGTGAACTGCAGGATTCAAAAGTCCTGTGATGTTTTGCAGTAAGGGTATGAGAAGTGAGTTGAGCACAGTCTTACCTGGATCTGTCCTTTCCCCATGATGCGATCTGTGCTCTCTCCATCCTCTTTGGTGAGCTTGGTTTTGTTGTAGCACTTTTCATAGCACAGAATCCGCAGTGTCTGTGAGCCCTCCAGCTCAATCTCAAACTCCTGCAGGGGACCAGAAAAGGAAAGAGCAACGGCTGCATCACAACAGGACACCACTCTCAGAATAATCAATACAATCTCTTTAATACTCATCAGAAGAACACTTAAGGACTAGCCAAAACCTCCTCCCTGCTGGAATTGGTCTAGAAATAAGCTGAAATTGTACTTTGTATCTATAAGGTGGTCAAATTGGAGACTAAGATGGCTCACTCCTTAGTCAGGTTTTACAGGTCTCAGCAAAGCATTATTCGAAGACACAAATGTGCTCACCTTCCTTGTAAGAAATTTTGCTCACCAGCAGGTCTAAGTTGGCTATAAACAGGCAAAATGTCTATAGCTAATTCTTCTCCCACTCAACAAATAAACAAAACCATCTCCTTCAACATATTTTTACTTGTGTTTAAAAAAAAATATCAAGTATCAAACATACATCTGTTTAAAAGATGAAACACTGGACAAGACTAATTTGTATCAAACTGTTTAACTACAGCTAATCCAAGAGAAAACCTTCTGCAAGCCCTGACAGCCAAATGAACCTGGCAGAAAAGTGTTTTCTCAGAAGCAGCATGTGCAGCACAAGTGCTGAGCATGCAGCAACGGCCCTCATTGGCAGATCATCTGCCCATCATGTGTTGACGTTTGGCACATGGAACAAGTCACATCAAGAAAAATCAAACCTACCTCGTTCCAGTTGGGCTCTGTTGTGTCTCTGTAAACTCTAGTTTTGGCCTTGTTCACAAAATACCCAAAAGAATCAACCTCTAACGTGCAGTACAAATCTGAGGAGTGGAGACAGGGACAAAAACTTAAAAACAATATCTAGAATCTCCTAACTTGCAATAATCACTTGTACAAGGTGCCTTAGTTTCCATCATCTCTGTATTAGTACCAGTAACATATTCCATACAAATCTCATTGTCTTGATCAGCCCAGCTGCCCTTAAGAAGCTCTGTCCCCTTTTTTGAGCATTCTGTCAAGTCATTCCCCTGAATTTTAACACCACTTTCTTCCCAACAAAAATTCTGGATGCCAGAGAACACCTTTCATTCTTTCACTGTAAAATAAAATACAGTTGAAAGAATTCAGGATAAGGGCTGACTTGTTTCTAGAACAGCTGGGTAATCAGCAAACACTGCTTAAACAGACCAGGCCAAACAGCAAGGGATGTCTACTTAATCCTTGATGGTGATCTTTTTGGGAGTTAAGAGTAGGAACAAGTGTTCCCCAAAACACCTCTCCTCCTCACCATCACCACAGATGCTGCAGTCTACACCCAGCTGTCCCAGCACATGGCTTATCTACCCCCTATCAGTACATCTTGTGTGCCCCAAAACTGCAACTCACTTGAGCTTTGCTTGAATCCCGTGGCAGAGTGGACAATGACATTCAGGAATCCATAAAGACCTGGGGATTCATCATCTGTACAAAAGACCCAAGGGATTTTGTTATATTCACAGTGGAGCCAAGAATGAGAATGATGAGATTGGTATCACACAGATTATTGAGCAGAGGGTGAACTGTCCCCAGGGATGGCAGGAGCAAGTAACAACCATTTCAGCAAGACAGGAGACTGTTCCACAGTTGACACCTGTAATATCTTCTGGCACAGAGGGGCCTTTATAGTGACAGTTCTAAGATCAGCAAGACAGCATGGAAGAAATTCAAAGGAGAAGAGGTGAATTATAGAGGCTAAGTCTACCTAGCAGACTATGTATTAATTTAGGATGGCCCCTGACACATTTTGGCCAACTAGTGCTGTTGCAAAGGATTTTCAGACATAGCTCAACGCTGTTCCAGGCTAGGGCCCCACCAGGCACTCCAATACCTTGCACAACAGCTGCATGCAAGGACAATTTAATGGCTGATTAATGTATAATGGAGGATGCCTGCAACCTGTAGCAAAATGGAACAATAAGAGCAGTTCTAGGGGAAAGCACAAAATCATGCAGGGGGAGAGTTTCACTGCAGCTACACCATGTGAAAGCAAAATCCAAAGGTCTTACCTTCCTTATTGATAGTGAGGGGAATGTTGTGCACTGTCTGAAGCTTCACACAGGAGTTTGTCAGCATCTGGAGCTCCACTGATGTGAGTGAGAAGCTTTTAAAACCTGTCATGGAGATTGAAAGAGGGAGAAGTAAAAATTCCAAGGAGAGGCTGGATGCATGACCCCTCATCCTGGGCACATGGGATAGAGCTCCCTGGGCACTGCTCAGCAGCAGCACCAAGGTGCTCAGGGCATCCCTGCTGCTGCTGCAGCCCAGCTCTGCTGGGGACACATTTAGTTTCTTGTCCAAGTCTTAGGATGGTTCACAGGAAATAGAGGGTTCTTGGTTCCTTGCAAAGTCAAAAACACCATGCCATAAAAGTAACTAAGTTTCTTTTGAATGGAGGTAGGGAAAAGGGTGTGGCTTTTCCCTCTGGAATTGCACTGAGCTCTGATCTCTAGGGTAAACGGGAGAACCTCTACACGCATCTACTTCCTAACTGCTCTCTACACACTCCTCACATGTTGCTGCAGCAGAAGTTACCCAAACAGCCTCAGACAGGAGACACCCATATTGTGCTGTGGATTTCAACGCAGATCTCTGTTTTGGCAGGGAAGCCTGTCCCACACCTCATCCTCTGAAGCCCTGCTCTCTTAAGACCACGGTATTTGTACCAATGACAGCTGAGGAATACTCACATTTCTTCTGCTGTTCCCGGATATTCTCCCTCCACTCTGCCCTTTCATAGTCCGATGAAATGAGGAATGTGTAGCTCTACCCAGGAACACAGAAGAAAATAGGGTATGCATTAGTCTGATGCACCACTGAGGGCCTGCTCCCACCCTCCCCCAGTGCAAATTGCTGGACAGACTGTTCTGCTGGCACTCCTGCCCCTCTTCCTGCACATCTCTGTCAAGAGAGGCTGGGCTCTGGCAAGGTGCCCATGGTACCAACATGGACAGTCAGAGCTCGCAGAGCCCCGCCCTGCCAAGGGCAGCTGAGGCCCTGCAGCAGCTCCCATGGCAGCTTGTGCTACTCCTCACAATAGGAATTCAGCTGCACCAGGAATGCCAAGAGCCTCCAGCACAGGCCTAGACATTGGTGAAGCAGTGACAGTCAGGAAGCAGCGACCAGCTCATGGCTTTTCACTGAGGAGTAACACACTCCTTTGAGACTCCTTTGCCACAGTTACAGCAGAGGTTACAGCACTTAGAGCAGGGAGTACCCCTGGCAGAGGAGCCGGGCAGGGGCAGCTGAAGCCCTGTGGACACTGCCCTGAGTGCGCCAAACCTTGAAGCCACAAGGCAGTCTAGAAGGAAGCTGCTGCAGAGCTGGATCTCAGGTGAAGGGCTGCTCCTATTGCTCCACCAGGACTGCTGCTAAGGCAGGGGATTCATTTCTATGGTTATTTCTTAAATGCCAGTCTTGTATGCAAATTAGTCACAGCCTTATAGGATGCCATCATAACCTTTGGCACAGCAAGGGTGAGGTGTCTGCTGCTTGGAAAGAGCTCTGAGGACACACACTAGAGGCCACAAACCCTCGCTGTGCAGGAGCACAGGCAGTCAGATCCAGCCCCCAGACCTGTGGCCCCTGGGGGTGGTGGGTGCTCTCACCTTGCCGTTGCGATTGTGCACCCGGAAGGCCATGTTGGGAGACATCAGCAGCAGCAGGGATTCCTGCTCCGACAGCTTCTTTTTCAACCTCTCAATGACCTTGCTGCCTTTATTGGCTCTCTGAAGGGTGTGGGAGAGAGGGAGAAGAAGATGTGTTATTCTCCAAATCTGCCCTCATTTACACTTCCTGCTATTTTGAAATCCACAGTCTCTACCCTCTGAGTAGGTAAATGCCCCTAGAGCAGAAGAAATGCTGTCAATAGGATCCACAGGACTCCCAGGTGCTCAGAAAGGCATTATCTGCAGAATCTCTACACACGGACTGGGCTCTGTTCCCTGTTTCCAGCTGTCCCAGCTGAAGTGCAGAGGTGTGTGGCCACTGTCCCAGCTGTACCCTGTATTTTCTGTTCCAGAGCCTGCAGTATCATCATGTTACCAGGCAGCCATAGATAGCACTGCCAGGTCCTCCAAGTGTCCTTAACTAAGGTGACTCTAAGGAACTTCTGTAGAGGGATCCCAGAACTCTCCCACTCACCACTCACTGATCCATTTTCATCAGAGGTCTGCTAAAAATATGTTTTTTCCTGGATAAAATCCAGTACCAAACCCAGCCATGTGTATTGTTTAGCACTTATGCACCAAAGCATGAATCTTAGACACCTGCAGCTGGTGAGTAAATGGCTTCCACAAAGTGTTCTTCCTAATACTTTACTTTTTCCAGGAAGCCCTCTTTGAAAGCCAGCCAGGGCTGAGAGGCAGAAGCATGTTCTTTGGAAGTGCAGAGAATAACCTTCCCACAGCATGATCAATGTTATTCATATCCTGCCCTACACACCACCAGTGTTCAAACTCTTATTCCTCTTTTAGGCTCCAGGAAGGTTTGGGATCTAACAGCTCTCAGAAAACATAAATTGCAAGCAAAGAGAAGCCTGGGCCAGAGGCACCATGTCCATGTCTGACTGTCAGCATAATTACTGTTTTCTATACATTTACTGCTGCTTTGACATCAATGAAGTAGGAAAAAGGTTCAAAGGCATAACTGAGTCTGCTAAAATTCAAGAGTATATGGCTTCTGACCAAAATCACTGGCAGGATCATAATTTAACAGCCAGAAATTGGAAAATAACACTCCCAGCCTTTTTCATGTCTGCAGTATAAGATCCCTGCCCTCCACACAGATGCTCAAAGGAATAGAGGAGCTGCTGGATACAACCACAGGGTCTTTGCCTCCTCACAGGGCAGCATCACTCAGGCCATGCACTTGGATGAGCAAAGCACCTGGCTGTCACAAACCCCTGCTGAACAGTCTGTTGCAGCCTGCATCCCACACTGTGCAGCCCTGGGAGAGCTGCCACCAGCACCTCATCTGAGCACAGACTCTGTGTCTGCACTGCCCTGGAGTGCTCAACTCCTTTACCTTTTCCCGCTGGATGTCGTTCTTGATCTGGGATATCTTGATCTTCATGGCATCCAGCTCCTCATCAGGTACCAGTGGGATATTGGGCACTGCCTCAGACTCATCAACCATTTGGAAACTGAGGTCAGTGAGCGGGATGTACCACTTGCAGTCATATTGTTGGCTTTTCCTGAAAGGGAGTAGGTCCAAACCTTTTACTACTACTGGTGTTTGGCAACACCCAGTCCTTCCCACAAGCTCTTCCCTGCTATAATGCAGAGGACAAATACTGGCCCAGCTTTACTGTGATTCCCATATGGAAAAAGTCTGGCAACAGGCTGCTTTTCAGCAAGACAGCCTAGCAGGGCCAGTAGCTGGTACAGCCCATAAAAAGGCAACTCATTTTGTTATCTAGTTCTTTTCATCCTAGGAAACCACATCCATCTCCTGCAGACAATTTTGGTCCCGCACGCTCTCTCTTTGAAGCCTCTGGTGTGGTGAAGTTCTAAAGCTGTGCCACACCTGTGACCTGCTGGCCCCTGGGATCTGAACCCAGCTCTCTCCTGCCCAAGCTGGGGCAAGTTTGAACGAATGGATATAAACCCCCGTGTAATCCAACCATGGGAGAGAAACTACAGCTCATAGCTGCCATTCTCCAGGGATTTCACCAGGATAAGCAACTCACTTTTTACATGTTTCATGTCATTTACTCCCCCTTCACCTGTGCTGTCAGGAACATCCACTCTTGGGAATGTCCCATTCCTTTGAATGTTCATTGCTCAGAAGCACGTGCTTTGAAAAGAGCAGGTGTAACTTTTTTTCTTGAGGAGGGCAAGAAGATAAGAGATGTCTCCCCAAGAAGAACATTTACAAAATGAAGAGAAGCCCTATTTTGAGGGAAGTATATTGGTAATGGTTCCTCCCCCTTCACATGTGAAAATTGTCAGCAAAACTGCTTTTACAGCTGCACTTTGGGGTTGACACATAGTCTGCTTACTGCCCCTGTGCCATTTTTCTGTGAAACTGTTAACAGGCTGTAGCTACAAAGCCAAAATTAACAACCCTAGTCATAAAAAGTGAAGAATGTCACCTATTAAAAGAAAGGGGAAATAGAAAAATTAATGACATTTTTCCAGAATACCAGCAGCTACAACATATCCTGCTCTCCTAGGTAGGGCAGGGATGGGAGGAATTACCTTTCCTGAGGGGTCAGGAAGGTAATTAGAAGGTAATCCTTAGACAGGATCTCATACAGTAAACATTCCTATCTTGCTGATAATTTCTTATCTAACTGCTTCTTATGGATTATGGTTACCCAGGTCTGGGGTATCCATATGCAACTAAAACCGCAGGCTAAACCCAGGATTCTGTTGCAAGTGAGGTGCAAAGCATGAAGTCCAAAAAGAAACTCTCACCCTCCAATCTGCTTCTTGAGCTTGGCACACAGGAAGAGGTCAGTGAAAAGAAAGACATGGCGTAGCTTGCGAGCCCCTTCCACCAGCTCCACCATGAAACTGTCCTTCAGCAGCTGCCGGTGCTGGGCAAAAAAACAGAAAAACGTTTCAGTGCAAAACGAGCTCCAAATTTGACACTGGGGCAACACAGTCCTTAAACTCAACTCCTACCAGAGCAAATTCAGTACATTTGTCTAATTCAGAAAAATGAAAAAGCCTATTAAATACTCCTTGCTGTCACCTCTGCTCTCTGCTGCAGCCTCTCTCCCAGAGGCAGAAAGAGCCATGCATCTTCTCCCCTGCCTGGTGCTGGGTCAGACTTTGGGCTTCTCTCCATCACCTGTCCCTGAGCCCAAGTGCAGTTTGTTGTGAGTCCCCGCCCAGCTCCAGAGTCCCTGAATCCCTGGCAGTGGATCGTCCCCTCCCGAGCCAGCAGAGAGCAGCACACACCGCTTCTCCCAGCCACTTCTCTCAGACACTTCCCAGCCTCTGCATCAGCCTCAGCCACCCCAGCAGGGACAGCAAAGCTCTCCTCGACCCCTTCCCTTCCCATCCACAGAAGGACTTTGTCAACACTAACAGCTAATCGCCGTGGCTGCTTCTTCATTACAAGTGCTGTTAAGGGATAATTCCTGAACATGTGTACCTGGCAAACTTCTCAGGAGTTCCTTATCAGCCTGTGCTTTAAAAGGACCACCTGGATGCACCCTCACCATCTGTCTATTCATGTGCCTATTAGAATCTTCTTTATATATTATATTAAGATTCCCCAAACCTAGAAGATGAGAAGAAGCTGCACAGCTCTGATGCCTTTAATCCTTCTTCTAGTTCCATGGAGTTTAACAGCCTCCTAAAGAAGGGGCACACATTGGTAAGCAGAACCACTGCTTGCCTAATTCCCTCATGGGGGAGGGGCGGAACAGAAAACTCCATAGCTAAAAACCCAAAAGGCTGGAATGCTGGCACGTGGACAGTGGCTGTGTGCTCCTTCCAGTGACCACAACAGGAGTTTCATGCCCTGCTTGTGCTCAGGTCCTCCACTGTGCTGTCAGGATCAGCAGGACTCAGTGCACACCTGGAGCAGATACTGCCCACTGATTTTCAAGCAGGTGTCAGGCCATTCAGCTCCAGGCAAGTTTTATTTCCACCAATATGTATAACTGTCAGTGTTGCCTCACTTCACAGCCAGTACAAGAAGCAACCATCAGCTTCCCCACACGTGCTAAGGTAAGCTAAGGAACTCTTTCTTTCCTGACCTGTAGTTCCTTTGTTATTCCAGCCAAGAGGATGCTCCTCTGCCATCCCTAAGTGACATATCAGACATCCCACATCTGCCTAGACAGTGCTGTGGCTGGAGACAGAAGCGTTCTGCTAAGCCTGTCCAGGGCTAACCAGCACCTCCCCAGCTGCCTCACTGCCAGCCTTGCTCAGCCCCAGGCTCAGGACTGACCCCTGAGTCCCCACTGCCCTGCCCCATGGCCGGGACCCCCACACTGGCACACACACAGAAGGGTCTCCTGGGGCAGCACCACGGGAGCAGCTCCCCTGGGCAAGGCCAGGACACCCACACCAGAAGTGATGCCTCCATTTCTCAGGTGATGCCCCTGGGTTCTGTTTGTTGCGTGACTTAACAAACCCTGAACGCATTCCCTGCCGAGGGTGTGGGAGTGCAAACGCCCACGCTGCCTCTCCTCCTGCCTACCATTCTTCCCATCTTGGCTTTCCAAAATTAAAACAAACCACATCAGTCCTGAGCCTAGCAGGCATCATGGCAAGGAACACACGACAAAGAAATGCCCTTGCAGACAATTCTTTCCATGGTCTGTCCCACAGCACCCTACGCTTCCTGACAGGGACTAGGAGCCTGCATTTTCCCATCTGCAGCTACAAGAGCACCACAGCTACCTGCAAAAGCACGTGGAGCAGTGTCAGCAGCTCATCTTGGTGCTGCCTTCCATTACACAAAGGTCCTCTAAATCTGTGAGCAAAAGCTGCACCTTTCCCAGAGCTGCAGGAAGCAAGGCTGCTCCCTGGCAGACTGCTGCACCATCTCTGGGCAGGACTCTGGGGAGGTCTGGCATCCAGCAGTGATTCAGCTCACAAAGGCCTGTACATATGTTCGTGTTTATTTTTAGGTGGGTGTGACCATCCTGGCTTCTTCTTAGTGCTTTTGGAGAGAACTCCTGCCTGCACTAATGCCTTTGCTGCTGATGGACACTTGAGCACGCCTTCCCCTCCTGCCTGGGAGAGCAAGCCCCAGACAGGAAACTAGAAACACTGAGCTTTGAAAATAAATAAACAAACAGGATGAGGTATGTTGTCAGTAGCACAAGAACACTCTCTACTCCTGCACAGAATTTCATTTGGGAGCAATAATAATAAGCAGGGAAAGATATTTTCTGAGCAAGCCAAACCCCTGATCTCAGGTTTCTAGATCTGATGCATATTAATTACACTGCAAATCAGCTCAGCTCCTCTGGAGCAATGAGAATAGCTGCTGGCTGCCAGCTCAACCTCTGCTCATTGTTTGTAGGTGTAAAGATGTTCTCACAGCTTACTCATCTCTGCTACCCAGCAGGATGTGGCACTGTCCTTTCCCTGCCTGGCACTGACAGGGCACAGTCCTGACCTGACCTTCTGTCTGCCTCTGCCAGGCACTGGCAGCGTGTGAGATGAACCAGGGCCCCAGCCCAGCACCCTGCCGAGAGAACATCTCCCCCAAAACCGAGCAGAAATCTCAGCCAAGTGACCCAACAACCTTCACGTTCTCATCTAGGACTGAGGTGACACTGAGTTTATTTGGGTTAGCACTCCTGGGAACCAAATCCTATCAGTGAAACACAGTGCAACCCCGAGGCAGCAAAAAGTCCCACAAAAGCAGCTGGGTGGAAGAGAACAAGCCTGTACTTCCTAAGCTTGACTGGAACAGAAGGAGAGAGGTGAAAGAGAGATATTCCAGTCAGTCAGAGAGAAACACAGAGCTTCCCAGAACACTTAATTCTTCCTATCTTCTTGCTCATGGGAGCTAGTTGGGAAGGTGTCCCTCCAGCAAGCAGCAGGGGTGAACTGCCATAAGAGCAACCAAGCATCTGGGGAGGAGAGTACAGGAGAAAACATTTGTGGATCAAGTCAGGAAATATCTCCTCACTACCAGCTTTTCTTGGAAAACTTTCATTAAGGCTGGGTAAAACAGGCATGCTCCAGGCTGCTCAGCATCCGTGGAGCTGAGGAGGGGCACTTCCAGCAAAGGGGCACATCCTTTGCTGCAAATGAATCATCTTGCCGGGAGGTTCAGCAGGTCAGAGGGAAACAATAAAAGGATTTCCCAATGGCTTACCAGATCCCCGCCAAACCCCACAGTGTGGGAGCAAAGGGCACCTTCCTGGACCTCCTGACATGAGTCAGCCCATCCTCTCCCACCCTGGGGGAGCCAGCAGCCCCCTCAGGCAGGGCTGTGGCACGCAGAGGCCTGTGCCACCTCAGTTCTGCAGTTTGGAACCAGGACTTGGGTCAGCTGCTCCCACCCAGGGCCACCAACAGCTATTCCTTTGGTGACCTCCTGTTGAATGAGGTCTCCTGAAACACAAAGGTTTTTGGATGGGTGAGCCTGCTGTACTGACATATAATAGCTCTCCTGTGGGAAGCCATCACTCTACCTTGTTCCCAGAGTTACTCTGTTAAAGTAACCAAAGGCGCTAAAGATTTCCTAAAACATTCTGAAATAACACTGACCACAGAAACACCAAATAAACATCCAAGAGAACATAAAGTTAGGATGATAGGGAGACAGTGGCAGGAAAGTGGCAGAGTGACATCCTCTCTTCCACAGACAGCCCCCAAATCTGTCAGGTGTCCAGCACAGGAGCTCAGCTCAGCCTCAGAAAGATGTTCCAGGAAGTGTGGGAGAAAAGTCTTGATTTTGTGTCATCATAGAGTGAATTAGGATCATCTTTAATATCTCACACAAGGCCTGTGCTGTTAACTTCAGTGGCTCTTGCGAAGCTCCTATACTGGTACAACATCTCTTTTCCAAGCCCTGCTCTTCTTTGCATGTTTTCATCTGCTTCTTCTCCCACCCACCTCAGTGCTCTGAACAAAAGAGTTCTCCCTGTACCTTTTCCAGAGCTTGGTTATCCTCTTTGGATTGCCTATTGCTGTCCTCCTCCTCCTCCTCTTACCTCTCACTGAGCATCTTCCCCTCCTCTGCTACCAAGCTCACGACTACCTGTGTGCTCATCTATTCATCCTACAGTGATTTTGTGCTGTTTGCATATGATAAATCCTGCTGCTGTCACAGACTGATTAACTCCAGGAAGTGTGGCCAGCTTGTCTGAGACACATTACAAAAAGTGGAATTGAAAAACCTACTCAAGCAGACCCACAGCTGCACAAAAGGCCACCTCCCCGCTCGTGCGCCGAGGAAAGAGCTCATCCGACGTGGTGACAGCAGAGGCCTGCAGCGTGCGTGGGTGAGAGCCCCAGGAAGGGCTGGGACATGTGTGAGGCACAGGGAGGAGGGGAAAACCAGGAGATGGGTATTGGCACATGTCAGTGAGGAAGAGGTGGTTTGGCTTTGTGCAGAGCGTAGGAAGAAAATGATTCCTCGTGTGTCTAAGTGTGTTGCAAGACCAGCACTGCAAAATGAAATAAAAAGGGATGCTCTTCCTAGGGAGTTAAACTGGCTGCTCTTTGAGCATTTTAATGGCCTCTTTCTTCTTCCCAAAGCTCCTGTCACCAGGAGCTCTCTGTCTCCAGCTGTAAGACAGAGTGTGAAGCAGCCAAGATAATTTCTGAGTGCTCTATTGCCAACATCTGCCCAAGGCCTCCAGGAGCAGTAGGCACCAGGCCCATGCTGTGCATGGCTGTGGCTAAGCATCACGTCCAGCTTTTCAAAGGCTTCAGTTTGCACTTCTGCTCCCTTGCACATGTCCTTTCTCCTTTCCCTTCTCTAGCACACTTGGTCCTCTACAGAGTCAAACAAAAGCCTAAGGCAATGCTAGCCAGTCCCTCGACTGCAGTTTAAAACCACATTTAGAAACACAGGAGAGCAGCTTGCCAAGCCTCTCCTCTCCCAGGGCAAGGACAAAGGTGTACAGCAGCACAAGCAGATCTGTGATGTGATCTACCGGGCTTGTTTTTGGAAAAAGCTGCCTGTCAGCTCCCTTGTGTCTGAAGCGGTGCTGATGAGACCAAACACGAAGCCACTCAGCCAGCAGTGACCCAAAACTCATTTCCTCCATGCTGCTGTGGGATCACACAAACTCCAGTATGAATGCTCCAAAGAGGGTGGGAGGACATGACCAGGACAAGGCAGAGTGGTAGCCACCACACTCAGGTTGGTCTGAACTGCCCTGGAACAACACTGCAAAGAGCACAAGAGGAGCAGCAGTCAGGAAAGGGACCCCCAAGTGAACTCTGCAATTTTTTGCTGCTTCATTAATTCCTGCTTTGCACAAATGAATTAGCTGGAAACACCAGCCTTGACCTCTGGCAGGCCAAGACAAGCACTACAGTCATTTGCATCTGGGCTTAGCTGAAAAAACCCAATGTGCAGTACCTAGAGCTGCTCTATTAATAAGACTAGAGAAGGTTATTACTGCCCTCCCTCTGCACATAACAGTGGCACATCCTTCATCCCAATGCATTTGTTTTCCTTCTTCCCCAAGGCACTGTCCCCAGTAAAACCTTAACCTTGTTCCTAATTTAACCCAAGACAACAGTGGTGCAGAAGGATCAGCAGTGACAAGAACATGCCCATTCCATGGCCCCAAGGGCCAGGTGACTCCACCACTCACATCCCAAGCCAAAAAGCACAGGGCTACTTAGGCTCCCTTCCCCTCCACTTGCTTGGAGCAAATAACCAAGCATTTGCTTGGTTATTTAGAGGGTTAGCAAAGTGGATACCTGTAGATAATTCATTTAAAAACTGTAAAAAAGGTAAAACTATGAAAGTAGAAAGATGGGATGAAAAGAAGGGAGCAAGAGAATGGATCAAGCTGAATGGAAACAGATCCCAAAGGCCAGAGATGCCCTCCTGGCTCCCCTGGGTTGCCAGCCTGGGGCTGAGGCTCTGCTGGTTCCTCTGTCAGTCAGCAAGGACCAAACTCTCTGTTCACAGGCTCACTGCATCAATTTTGCCTTCCCTGCTGCAGCTCCTTCTGGCCCTCTGGGGAGGGATTTTACTCCCTTTGTTCCTATCTCTTTGCACTACCTGAAATCCTCATCCAGCCCAGCAAATCAAACCACATGACATAAACCTCCCAGCTCCTGTGCATAAGTCTAGATCAGAACAAAGCCTCTGGAGTCCAGCAGAACTGGGGGGCTGGAGTGCAGGATGGACACCTAGCACCACACAGGGAGCCCAGCAGGCAGGGCAGGCTGAGTCACTGCTCCCAAAGCAGGGAATCACCTCTGCAAAAGAGAACAACACTGCTGATGAGCCTGTACTCTCTCCTGACCTGTACTCCCCTCCTTAGCAGCCTGTCACTAGGGAGATTAACAACTGGCTGCTTTCCCCCAGTTCAAAGCAATCTTGAAAAAAAGAGCTGGAGCAAGAGGCTGGCAAAGGAGATTTGATTCCTCCCCACAATACACTCAAAAGGAAAAAATATTCCACATTAAAGGCAAGGACTGGGAAAAAAAGATAACTGAGATCAGCACCTAAGCAATACATGAGAGGAAAAGGCTATTTTACCCTCCTTCCTTTCCACCAAGGAAACTTCAATGGGAGGAGTACAAATAATGAAAAAAGCCATCAAAGCAAGCTGGTGATTCATTAAAATAAAAAATGCATTATGCATTGAGAGCAGTCAATTAGGAGATGCAATCCACACACTGTCCTGTCACCCCGGGGGAAGCACCAGCAAGGCGAGTGGGAGGAAAGGATAAGTAGAAAAGGAAAGATTTACAGGCATAAACAAAACCCAGTTATGACCCCAAGCTGAGCAGCTTGTAGGAAGGAAGAGCCATCACTAACCCACACAGAGTAGCTGGGAGCAGATTTGTGTCTCTGCATTACTACATGGAGAGTGAACATACCTACTCTCAGGACACAGAGGGTTCAACTGGGGCACTACTGCTTTGATAGAAGTGGGATATTGGTGCCAAATGACTAAAGAAAATATTCATGGTCAGACTGCCAGGAAGGGAAGTCCTTTTGTTCCCTGGGCTTGGGAAAAGCTGTGTGCAGCGAGGGAGGGCACAAAAGCTTCCAAATCCCCCCCAGCACACCCACAGCCCTCTCCTCTGGTATGTCCTCTTCCTCCCTCCCCACATCATACCTGCAGCCACTGCAGGACCAGTGAGAGTGTGACCAGGCCTGCTGAGCACAGTCCTGCCGTGCCTCCCCTCCTGCTTCCTAAGATCTGACAGATACACTGCTCCAAAAAGCCATCAGCAGGATCATCCTCCTGAGCCTGCTCCTCTGCCTGGGCTCTGGCACCTCATTAGGATTCTGCATGACACCTTTCAAAGCCTGCATCCCTCACTGAGATGCTGACAGACAACCAGAGAACACAAATGCTCCCTCCCCTGCGAGGGGCATTCTAGCCTGTGCTTTCTGCTATGACTCAATCAGCAGCCACTTTAACGAGGCCATCCCCTGTCACTGAGGCACTGGTGACTGATGGCTGAGCTTCTACCTCAGCCTCCAATTGCTCAGCCCCTCCTTTTCTTTTCTCAGCTGGAGGTGTCCTCGGTTGACAAAATGAGACAATGAGCAAGACATGCAGGACAAAGTGCACCAAATTCCCAGAACTGCAGCTTCCAGCAAACCTTTTGTCAGCTGAAAATGAGTTTAACAGCTAAAAGCAAGCATGTTTAGCTGTCAGGATTTGGGAATAAATCATGAAGGTTCATGGTATCTTAACGATCTCTTGGGCTTTGTAAGATATGTTTTTGTACAGGGTAATTTGGGTCACTGTTGATCAGCCCATGTCTGGAATGCTGCCACAGCTCTTCTTACACCATTACTATCTGAGCTGCACCTCTCTGTCTCCAATCTCCTACATCCTTCTCTCAACACTTCTGCCTGTCCTGGCCCTTCTTTATCAGGAGGGACTGAATCCCTTTTTACTGGAGGCAGCTGAATCAAGCCATTGAGGAATGCAGACTCCACCACAGAGAAGCTCTGCAGGTGAAGGATCTGCACATCTCAGACCTTTCTAGGCACAGTCCAGCTCCTTATAGAGCTGAGAAGGGTTGTATTATATATACTCTTAGGAGTCAATAATCTCTCTGGCATTCCCAACCCATTCCATTAATTTTGCTTTCCAGTCATATTTACAACACTCTCCTTTAGAATAAAGATGCAGAAAATTAATTTTATGGTGAAAATGAAGATTCTGGAAAACAGCTTTTCCTTATCTTTCATGACTTCTGATGTTTCCTCATCTTTTTCTCCTCCCAGGCTTCTCATTTGATTTCAGTTTGCAGGTAAAACACAAGTCCATTTAGTGCATGGCAATGTGCATCATAGAAATTACAAATGACAAATGATTATAACAGTGCTAAGGACAAAACTCTAATCATACTTTTCCTCTTGGTTTCCAAACTGTATTCTGAAAAGAAAACAGAGGGAGCTGTACCACATCCTTCAGAGAACAAGGACATTGGATAAACTGTATCTTAGCAACAAACAGCTTAACAGCATAACTTCCTAGTCAGCTCTACAGAAAAGACATAACCAGTATTTAGAAACTGAGAAAATAACAAGACAGGAAGACTCACCTCCCCTTTCTTTACAGTCATGGACTGCCGGCGAGGAGTGATCTCCTCGTTGATGCTGGAGAGGAAGTTCTGTGAGATCCGCAGAGCATCCTGCAGCAGGGGATGGTCAGGGTGGCTCACAGGAGTGTGCTTGAGCAAATCCTGACAGCAGGAACACAAACAGAGAACACACTCATGGGCAGCACTGGATGGCAGGAGAGCTCGAGCACCCCTAACCAGAGCTGTAGGATAAAATGCTCCAGCTTCTTCATACAGATGAGAGCAAGGCTTTATCTCTAGATAAAGACAAAAATACCCTGCACTTCTTGGTGACATCACTGCAAAGATAGCAGCATCCTACCCATGGACTCCATCTCCTTGGTGTAAAGGGAAGAGGCTCTTATGCAGCTCAACAGGTTTATTTTCGCAGTCCTGCATCTCCATGGAAAATTTGAAGGTTAAAGAAAATAGGACAGGGGTCTAAAGTTTGAAAATTCCCCTTCAGATACTTACATGCAAGACAAGTGTGCTGCGGGTCACTCGATCCACTGGCTTGTACAACAGAGCTGTGGAAACAAAGCAGGAATATCAGGAAGAGTGAGTATGGAAGCTCCTTCTAGCATGGGGTGTCTTCTACTCATGTGTACAAAGGCAAGCACCATGGAACCTGATCTTGGCCAGGCTCTCTAAGTGCCCCCATCACCGCTGGGGTTGCATTTGTGCTATTATTGGGTAGCAGATGTTCTCTTAAAATAACAGCAGCCCTGTGGTTAGGCTGGCTTTGCCCAAAGGCACTGATGAGGTTTGAAGCCAGGAGGCATTTCCCCATGCAGGCAGCCTGCTTTGCACGAGCTCTGCTACTTAACAAAAGGGAACTGACTTCCCAGGTAGAGCCCCAGACTCCATAACCTTCCAGCATTCCAAAAGAAAAAGGGAGGGTGGAGGTTTGGCAACAGCCTCCACACAGTCCTGACAGACCAGTCTCCTCTCCATGGATCACTCACTTTCCAAGGAATTTTTCGTCGTCTGATCTTTAGATTCCTTTGTGCTTCTGGCCTTTAGATTCTAAAACAAAAAGAAAACCCATGTAGCAGATGGTCAATCACTTTGAAATACCACATGGGAACACAACAGACTATCTGCTCCTCCAGGGGAAGGCCTAGGTGTGAAAGAAGGAGAGCCCTATCACAGTTCAAGTCAGTGATGGAAAAATGCACTTTCCTTCTTGGTAAATCCACCACTGCCATGTCACAGGCACCCACACATCTCAAATATTGAGCAATGCTCTTAGGAGCACCTGTTAATAGGCAGTAAAGCAGGGAACCACCTACAGCAACAAGGATGAAGGAGTTTTGAAATCACCTGCAGATTAAAGATGTCCATAAGGACACAGCCACTGTCCCAGCACCAGTAAATAAAGTACAGGATTGGCATTCAATACCCTCAGGTTATGCTTCTTACTCCTGTACTCAGAGCTGGGTGACCTTGGACACATCAATTCTTCCACAGCAGCAGAGGAATACTGTCTGTGACTCTGCTCTTTGCCATGGGCCATGCCATGCATTAATGTGCTCAGCTCCAAAATCCTCACCAGGACACAAATGCAGAAGTACCATCCCATCATTCCAAATACAGTAGATACTGGCATGATTCACAATTATTTGTCAGAAACAGCAAAACTGAGAGATCATATTCTACCTCTTTCTCATAAGTCTCACAGGACATGTGATATAGAATGTACTCAGGAGTTTTCTCAGAGCACTAAATGCCCCGGTAGTACTCAACTCTGACGATTTATCTGATTGTTTTTAAGGAGACACATATGAAATTCATGTTTTCTTGGCACCTGAGTTCTTCAAGAAATAATCACTACAATACAAAGAGTCAAAGAGACCATGCACTGCAGGGAAAGCTGATGCTCTGAGAGGCCTGAAAAAATATTCAAAATGCTTTGAGACTGGTACTCCTCTGATAGGCAGGAAATCAGAGCAGGTCAAAGAACAGTATTATAGATTTATGGTAGACACACTTGCCTTTTTCATGAGAGAATTACCCTCTCCTCTCCATGCCAGTGAAGCCTGCAATCCTACTGACAGCCACTGTGCAAGCCATTAAGGATGGCTTTTATATCACAGCCAGAATCATCATTAGCAAGAGAAACATTTGAGAAACTCACACAGAGCTTTCCCTTCCAGAACTGCATGAAGGTGGCACAGAGCTGGAGAAGTTGAAAGCAATGCCAGTTTCTAGCAGATTCCCTGGGTGGGGACAGCACACAAAGGCTGTGTCTGTGCCCAGCCCAGGGTACAATTCAGGGTAAGAGCACGAGCTGAAGCAGGGAGTCTGTGCGAGCTCACAACTCCTCCAGAAGTCAGGGCTGCAGAGGGACTTGGAGAATAGACAGGAGTGACATGGCAGGGTATTAGTCAGAGGCAGACAGCTCGTGTGTCTGAACACCGTGACATTACCTCAGAGATTTCAGCAAACTGAGCATTGGCTTGGCAGCATTTCTCTGCTGTCTCCATAGCAACTTCATAGTTATCCACAAAGGCCCGGTACACTCCCAGCTGGCTGGCCTGCAGGAAGCAAAACAAAATATAATGAATGCCGTGGAAGAAGGCAGTTTGGGATGGTCAGTCTTGGTATCCAATGATCAGGTCATGTTTCTTTCACACCAAACAACTGCAGGGAATGCTGAGCAGGCCCAGAATGACATCTCTGACCTCTCAACTTTGTCCAACCAGCACTTGTGCCCCCATGCACCCAGTTCCACCCTGTGCTGAACAAGTTTACTTGTGAAGGATGTGAAAGCCTATGGGAGTGACACATCCTTATTTCTGACATCTATTTTCCCCTTCTGAACTGCCAGATTAGCATCTATTAATATTGCAGCTCATTGATGTAACTGGAGCCGCTGGCTTTTTGCCACAACATATGAATCAGGGAGGAATGATTCAGCCCAACAGCACAAATGTGACCCCAGTAAGCTACTTGTTGGCCTTTGAATGATGGATATACTAAATGAAACTCAGATATTACCCATATCTGCCTTAGTGAGCATTATTATAAAGGCAGCAGAGTGCTGAAAATATAAAAGAGAGCACAATCTGTTTGGATGGCAGTGACTGGGGCACTAGGTGACAGAAAATGGCAGTTTTTCCAGCAGAAGGAATACGGAATTGATCCAGAAGAGGATGGAACAGGCCTCAGAGTACAGTAGTAAGTCATTATTATCACAGAGTCTTAGCACTGATCCCATTTGCTGACTTAGGAACCTCAGCCATATTCATGCCAGAGAACACAAGATCCAGCACGGGAAATCCCTGGGCAGCCTCCAAGCTTGTCTGGAGTGCAGAGCTGGCTTTGTGCTGCACAGCTGCCAGGCTGGGCTGGGCACACCTCGGCAGCCTGAGCCCACAGTGCCGGGCAGCAGCCACGGGTGCAGCAAAGAGACTTTGCCAGGGGGCTGCACTCACCTCAGCACTGCTGCACCAGATGTGCAAGAGGCAGAGCAGGGAACTTCCCCACTGCTCCTTCCCTCTCCTGCTCTCTCCCAAAACCACTGTGCTCCCCATTCTCTGTGGAGCTTTGTGCCACTGTGCTCCCCATTCTGTGGAGCCACTCCCAGAACAACATTCCCAGCAAAAACTCTGTTAACAGGGCTGAGAAGCAGTGAGCTATTTCCTAGATGATGTTTTACTGAAATACTAGAAACCAATCTCAACCCTTATACAAAATTACAGTTATGACTGAAGCTGAAGAAAACTGTGCTCACCTATACCAGGGATGACCCCAGCAGCATGGAGAGAATGAAATCTGTATTTGCCACTGAGCACAATCCTGGGAAGACATTGCTGTCAGAACTACTGACCATTTGCAGGGCTTATGCCATTCAGACTTGGATGATGCCAGCTAACATGGCAGAGCTTTAAAGTTTCTCCATTCCCATGAAGTTCTTTCATTTCCCGCTACTCCTGAACAGTCTTTTTAAGCTTTCATTTTCCTCCTCTGAATGTGTCATCACAAAGACATCTTTTTCATTAAAAACTGAGCTTCCAATAAAAGCAATAATGCTCACACACCATTTACATGCTGGTTTAATTTTTTTTTTTTAAATTAAAAAGAACCCACTGAAAATGAAACAAGAGTTTGTAGAAATGGTTGGCTTTTGGACATTTTTTGGTTTTGAGGCCTATCAGTGTGAGAATATTTGCTAAATATGTCTACATTTCTAAAAAGAGCTCTAAAGAGTTTCCTTTCTAGCTATAAAAAAATATGTACAATATATTCTCCAAAAATGAGAAGCGTATTTCACTCCCACATGCCTGGCATCTTTTCTTTTTCTCAACAGGAAAAGGTGTAATAACAGTCAATTTGATGTTGCAAATAGATCATTCTTTGTGCCAGAACACACAGAATTCTAAAATTCTTTGCATCCACTATCTGTAACTTCCATCTACTGTGCTGTTTTTTGCGTGAGAGTACAGAAAATTAATGTCCCCAAGGACATCTGGGTATTTCAGTGTTTATCATCAGACTGCATGACATGACCACTAGTAAACTGTCTGCTCCAAAAGATTTGATGTACATCCAGTGTAGATGCCTTATAAAGCCTGATGTTCTTGCTGTCTCTCTCATCTAGTTGCTTCCCAGTGCCTGCCAAGAATTATTAGTTTTATCTCATCCAACAAAGAGTTTGCAATTCCCACCACTGCTGTACCAAACCACCCAAAACTAAAACTGCTATGCCAGCTCAAAGCCTCCTGCACTAGGGCAATTTGTTCCTTTGTTTCCAATGCTAGTCCAACAAAATCAACAACTCTGTCACAAATGCAGAAAAATCAGGGGAACATAAGAGCAGAGTGAGGGCTGAACTCCTGCACCGGAGATCAGCCAGCAATAAGAAATGGTCTGAAACAAAAGCCTGAGTAGGTGTGCAGTGCTGGACAGCCCTGCCAAGGAATACATTCAGGTCTTCTCCAAGCTATTCCCATTGCTGCACCACACATCCAGAGCAGCTTGTGAGGCTGCCACTTCCAGCAGCCTTCTGTGTCTGCTTCAGCACCCAGCAGCAGCTGGGTTTGTCCTCTCAAACCAGCTGCTCAAATTGCATACCATGAACTATTCACCAAGGCACCAACTTGACCCCTCCTGGCTAAAACACGCTGGCAGTGAAAAGCAGATTCCTGTATTTTCATCTTGAGCTGCTGGCACGTACAGAAAACATCATCTTCCAGGCCAGCTCCCCCTGCTCCATAGGGGATGGGGCTGATGCTGGGCTACACAGCTGCTAACAATTGATCCAGCCTGGTAAAGCACACTCCCCAGCCAATAAACCCCTCACTGGAATGTCACTCCTACCCTGAGAACCAGAGGCACCTCAGGAATGCAGAGCTTCTTTTCTTTTCTAAAAAGGAAAAAACAGCTCCTTTAATCCTTTGCTCTCTGCACATGCTAGGGGAGAGGCTAAAGGGGCCAAAAAAACCTCCTAGAATGCAAACAATTTGTCATCTGGCTCAGAAACTCAGCAATTTTAATTCAGCCTCAGGAATATGCTGTATATGTCTTTGTCCTTTTCTTTCTGCACCCAGAGAATTTTGTTGAGGTTGCTTAGAGGATTCTCAGATGCAGGTTGACTGCATCAGCATAACAGCAAGGAAAACAGAAAGGCCAGGATAGTGGCAGAAAAGCAAAGCCAATGGTGATGACCATAAATCAGCACCAGGTAGAGCAAAGCACAAGAGAGAGGGAAGGATGTGTGGGGGAGTTCAGCAGTAATGAGGAATGCTTCACTGCTGGTTCACTTTGCAATACTGCCACTCTCCCATCTCCATCAAAAGGAAATGCTTTGAGGACTCTGCAGAAACCCTGGAGATTCAACATTTATGTGAAATTGTATTTAATTTACCACCACAGCTTGCTGCAGTCTTTAATTACAGACAATGAAAGAGCCACTTTTGCTGCAGGGCCTCCACTGTAGGGGCAAAGTGAGGAGGTGAGAAACCTCTCACCTATTCCAGCCACAGACTGATCCCTTTGGTCTCTGAAGTCACTAGAGGGAACTTCCAGCTCCTGTGAGATGGGTGAGGGGAACCAGCACCTTTGGTGATGGCAGTGACTCACCAGCTTTTGGAAGAGGTCCCCAACACGTTGCTGGTGACTCCACTGCTGCACTCGGGGAAAGAGCCCATCATAGAATTCTTTGTGGATCTCATAGAGCTCAGGCACTTTGAAGAATATTGTCTCAATCTGCTGACTGGTCAGCACGGGCTGGGAGGTGGTGGCAGCGGCTTTCAAAGGCTTCATAGGCTGAAATGAGGAAAGAAGGAAATAATTATCATGCAAACCATGAACATACATCTTTGCCACACTGCAACACATCCCTCCATATTTTTATACTAATAAAAAGTGAGATCTACATTCATACAACTTCTAAAAGCTAGACATGTTCAAGTTCTCTCATGAGGATCAGCCACCCCTGGTAGGTGGATTTTCCCTGGATATTAATGCTACAATTAAAATCCCTTTGCACTCCATTTCCCTAATCTCTGTCCAACTGTACAGCAACATGTAATAATTAGCACAGGATACTTAAAGAGAGCTCCTGGATACTGCCACATTAACAGCTCCCAAACGCTGCCACATCCAGTCCTTCCTTTAAGCCTCTCTCTCTGCTGGAGGAGAAACAGGTACCTTTTGCATCCAGTGCCTTGTAACCCACGGTATATGAAGTTCAGAGAAACTCTGGGTAGAAGCAGCAGTGAAAATTCAGTTCAGTGTTTGAACTGACATCTGACCCCAGCCTTACCAGCAGCAGGGCCTCCAGGTGGCTCAGGTAGGTTTCCTCACTGGCTAGGATTCCTGACAGGACCCATTTTCTCATCTCCAGGCCTTTCTCCAGGTCTGGCTCACTCTACAAATAAGTTATTTAGGAGAAAAAAAGAATTAAAAAAATAAAGAGCAGGTTGCGGGGAGAGTAAGGAAAAAACCCAAGAATGAGGATGGAGAGTAAAGGACCATTCAGTTGACCAGAGCACAGTTATTTTTTTTATTTACTTTCAGAGTAAAAACAAAAAATCTACTTGTGCTCAGTATCATGTTTCTAGAAATATGCAAACATTAAGCATTAAAGAAATCTTTATTTACCAGCAACTGATACCACTTAGATTATTTACAGTTTTCAGCTTTAGTCATCCGACTGTGATGTCTCAATTAGGTGCCTAGACCTCTTCACAAAATTCAAAACGTGGAACTTAAAAATTCAAAATTCATCCTCCTAAACAAATGTTAGGGCCCTTGTTCTGTGCAATGTCCTCCCTCCCTCCACAGGAGCTCTCCAAAGCTGTGTTTCTGTGAGCAGACAGGATCATTCCTCTGCACCTCCCAGGTGTGTGCCACGGTCACAGCCTGACCTGGCTCCACGGGGCTGTTCTTCCTCCCACTCTCTGCTATTCCCTGAATTATTTTTCAGTGCCAGCTAGCACAGTGTCTATTTTTAGTGAGAGGATGGAATAATCAGCATGGCTTGGAATGAACATGCTGATTTTCTTATTGGGATTCCATGAAGAAGTTCTTTACTGAAACAACTGAAGAAAGAGAGGGGGAAAACACCCCACATAACTACATTCAAGGGCTAATGGAGAAGACTAGCATGAAGTGTTAAAAGAAGCAGTAATCCCTTCCGTTGAATTTCAATTATCCTTCCTCTCAAAACTGTTACCTGAAAAAGCATTTAACCTGATAAAGTAAAACTGAGTATTTCCAAAACCTCAAAAAAAATTTGGTCAAGCAATGGAGGTTATAAATAATGAGAAACATTCCCCTTTTACAGAGCCCAGTTCTTTTTATTTCTGTCATTCACTGAAATAGCATTTTAGACTCCTGCAGCTTTTTTATGTTGTTAAATCTTTCTAAGAATAGAGTCAGAAGCTGTCTCTGAAAGGGTACATGCTTTTCAAGGGATTTGGGTAGGTTTTTTGGGGTTCCATCCTACTCTTAATATCCAGAGGAATCTTCAGCTTTTGATTTCACAGTGGGAGGATCAGGAAGCAGAGCAGTACACTCCACTCTAGTGACTGAATATACAGCCCTACAACTGTCCCCAAAAAAGCTCCACTTAGTTTAGGGTCCTCTGCAGATGTACAGATGAGGTACCTGGGCTAGAGGTTCAGTTTGCAGAACTATCACATCCTGAGTGTGACTTTGAGCCTACGCACAACACAAAGAAAGAAACAGATCCTCACGCTCCCAGATATTTCTGGATTCTGTCTCATCAATAACCATCCTGATTTTTGAACAGTTTCATTAAATTTTACAAGCTATATTCTAGCCTAAAAGCCTTGCAGCAGCTACATAAAAATTTTGCAAGGTGTCAAATACCACCACCACCTCTTAAATAAAAGTGGCAGACAGAAGCTGTTCTAAGGAAACGCGCAAGATTTACACACACATTAGGTACTACACGGAAACAAGAACTTCTCTTTGCATCCCACCCTTCAGTGACATTCAGTAAGAACCACAGTGCCTTTTAAAATCTTGAAAAGGCATCTCAAAGAAGGTAGAAGTTTGGAATTCACCAGTCAGTATTCAGAAGACTTCAGAAAAACACAAGTGACAAACTACATGGTAAAATAAGCACTGCGCCAGACTGTGCATCCATGGAGCACCTGTGTGACTGGCATAGAAATGTTCAACAAGGCTGTGACCATTCCTTATGGTCCCTGTGCCAGGACTGCCTGGATGTCCAGCTCATGGACCATTTGGTAAGGCATGGTACACACACATAATCAAGACAGGCAGCCCCAAGACAGTTAACAAAGATTGCCTTCATCCAAAGAGGAAAGGATGTGGCAGCCCTGGTGCAAGAAAAACACAATTGCTCTTGGTTTCCAAAGATTTCTTACAACACTTACAAAAGAAAACGTGCAGCTACACAAAGAAGCATTGAGAAAAACTAACAGTGCTCCAAAGTCCGCACTGCTGAGGATGAGGTATCTGGTCAATATTGACACAGCACCATAATGATCTTTACCAGGTTCTCTTGGAGGAGGTGAGGATTTAAAAACCAGCTGGGTACGTTTGTAACATCTGTAATGAGCAGCACACAATGACAAGTTATTTAAATGACTTAAACTTCCCCATCACGACAGTGGCACAACAGTTTTCCTTACAGCACTGAGAACAGTTTTCTCTTCATAAGTAAAAGCTTTAATTTACAAGCCAGCTCTTGCTGGGCACCGTCAGCTGACGGAGACGGCATTTTCTGCCGGAATGTTAATGTCCTCCCTTTAAAAGAGATGCGCTTTCAGAGAGACAAACATCTCCCAGGACACTCTGCAGCCCTTCCTTCCTGGCCACTACCACAAGGGCACTGTGCAAAGTCCACGGATTTGTCCTAGCCCTTTGATAATAGGGGCATTTTCCCAAGTGTGATGCTTGCAGAAATGCAGCCTCGGCCACAGGCAGCCAGGACACGGGGCAGGGCCTGGCTGCTTTATGCTCTGCACAGCAATTGCTCAAGCAACCCTCAGGGGAGTTGTTCCAACAATCACAGGGCACATTACAAGATCTCCAATGCCGTATCCTCGAATTTACATACAGTGTGAAAAGATGATCCCCTTGCTCCTGCTGTGTCAGGGATCAATGCACCGCCAGGGAGCTGCTCTGTGCATTGTGCTGCTGCTGCTGCTCCCTCCCGGGAGCTGTGTCCTGACAAGAGCTCCTGCTGAGGGAGGCCTTTGCTCACAGTGCCAGCTGGGGCTGCCTGGAGCACGATGAACATCTGGAAAACAGCCCCTGTGCTGCTTCAGCCTCAGGGTCCTTTTAAGTCACACTTGTTACGAAATGTACTCCAAGACTCAGAAATTCACTTGGTGCCAAAATCAGGAGGAAGAGTAAGTTTATTATTTGGTATTACAACACTCCTCACTTACAGACCGGGGAGCAGGCTCACCTAGAACAGGAGAGCAGTGAGCAGGCAGAGACTGTCTGCCCACGCAGCAGCCAAGCTGTGATGCACTCTGGGCCAAGGGCATTTCTGCTTTGCCTGTGTCTGGCACAGAAGGGAAACAAAGAGCACCACTGACTCCAACAGCCTCGCTGCCCCTCTGTTCCTGCACTCCAGCCAGAACAGCTAAGAGGGAACATCCTGGGCATCAGTATCAAGCTCCCCACCAGTACAGGGAGACCTGCCAAGGCTGAGGACTCCTTTCCCATACCTTGGCAAGAAGGGAGCAGCCTGAAATCTTTGAGCTGCTTTTTGAGTGGAGGAGCTGGTACCACATCTACCAGACCACAGAAGATGGGGAAAATACACCTATTACCAAAGTGCAGATGGGATGTTCCCAGCAGGAAGTGGGAGCAGCCTCTATTGGCAAACTCTAACCACTCAGCAGGGAGTGCCAGGTGGTCAGCAGTCCATCCCATGCTTCCTACCCAGCTTGGTTAGCCTGTTTTCCACTTGTACAAGTCTGACTGGTATTTCATGCTCTGACTGTCCCTACCCCTTTGATGGCAGCATCCATGTCTAGCCTTTCTCCACTGCCCTCCCATCTTTTGGCTACCTCTCTACCCACGTGTTTCAGAATAAATCTTACAGGACTGTACCAGGGCAGCAGCCAGAGCATTCCCGTCTGCCTGCTGTGGGAGCCGTGAGGACCAAGCACCCAGCCAGATCTGAACAAACAAGACATCAGTGCTTTGCTTCCACTCCTCATGAACTACGTTTAAAAAAACACCAAAACAATAAGGAAGGTAGAAAAAAGGCTACAGGAAATTACACAGGTATCTCATGCCTGTAAGATCCTGGTGTTCTCCTCTCTTCTCAATTGGGTGGTGCTTTTTGCTATTCCAAAGCCTTAAAAACAAAAATATTGAGTCACAGTGCAATCTTGCAACCTGAACCACAGTCAGTGAGAGGGCTTGGAAGCTCTGGAGATATCAGAGAGCACACGCTGGCCCCGAGCCATGGCTGGGTTCAATGTGTTTACAGATTGTCAGCCCAAGTACTTCAGTTTACTAACCAGGTTGGCATCGTGTGTTGAGTTCAATTACTGCAAGGCTGACATTCACCAGCTCCAAGGTTTAGACAGATTCAGCTCTTCCTGAGACTGGTTAAAGAACTCAGGCCTTCCTGGTTCTTGTTTAAATCAACAGCAATAATTGTTTTCTTGCAAATTGTAGGAGAGCACAGATTAAGAATCTAGAAACCACAATACGTAAGATTTTGCAAAGAGGTTGCTGCTGACACAGCTCTTTAAAGAGAATCAGGGATTCAAAGTGGGCGTATAAAAGGCACTTTAACTCTTCCTTTGGTACAGGCTGTTCATACACCATGCAATGAATGTGTTCAAAGGCAAGGTTTCCCATAAGGACAGCTTACAAAGGAGAAAAACATTCCGTTCAATATTTAAGTGTAAATGTTTGAAAGCTTCTGCTGGAGGTGTCTCATTGTCCTGATGATATTAAACGGGGCAAATTCTGTAATCAAGCTAATCATGCTCCATGTGGGGAGGGGAAGCAGCAGGGAGAGAAGCCAACATTATTTATAACATCAGTACTGGTGTGCCAGCTCTCCTCGGGAAGGGCTGTACATCCAGGCAGAGCCCTTAAGGAGCAAAGAATTGGAGAATAAAAAGGAAAAGCTTCATCTGTTGGCGGTGGTGAAGGGAAAGTGACAGTAAAACAAAAACAAACCAATTCAAATACTGAGAGGAAGAAAGGAGAATGATTAGGAAAAGCTGGAGGGGGAAGGACAAGCTAGCAAGAGTAGTACCAAGAGGAGCAGTAATCCTACTTACTGCTGTAGCTTCACAGGTCAGCTTCTCTGCATCCCCTTGGGACCAAGTGAGGAGCAAAATCCACAACCTGCTCTGCCACAGCCCTGCTCTTGCTGAGCTGGCACACAACAGGAACAAAGGGATCTGATCTGAGGACAGGCAATGGCTGCCAATGCTGCACAGCAGAAAAGGAAAGAGAAATTCTACCTGAAAGCCTGTAAGTACCAGGCAATATTTCCTCCAAACAGAACACACAGTAGAAAGGAGTCACTCAGCTTTAGCATTCCTGTTTCCCTTGCTTTGATATATGCAAGAATTGGAAAGATCTGCTTTGTCAAAAACTCATCTCTAAATTCCTGAGAAGGGACTTTCCTCATTTCCTGGGGCAGTGGAACGAGCATTGCTTTTCCACTGCCTGCCCTGCATCCACCTCCACAGAGCCCCAGGCACATCCCTGAGCCTGCCTCTGCTGGGGAACATCCTCAAAGCATTTCCTATTTCTGCACTTCCCAGGGCTGCAACCTCTCCCCATACAAGGAGCAGCACCAGGACAGTGAGTGAGGCTTCCCCCTTTTCCCAATCTTCTTTAGCCTCCAGGCTGCAAGCTACCCACTCCAAAACTCCTGGCAGAAACTCTTCTCTTCTGAAGGGTGTCAGTCACTGATTTTCCAGCTATCCTTACACCTTTCTGTGGCCTAAGAATACTGCAGCAAGCCCTCTCTCTGTCCTCCTCTAACTTAATCCAGGTATTTTCTCTGCTCTTCACCCTCACCGTATGGGAAAGACAGACACATTCTCTCTCTTTCTGGGAGTGAGTTACCACTATTTTTTACCAAGTCTGACACCTTCTGAAGCTACCAGCACTGTCTTATTTGGCAAACATTTGGGCTGACATTTTCCAAGAGAGGTTTCCAGAATTTCTGTGAAGTCCAATCAAAACAGTTCAGCTGTTACAGAAAGCAAGGTTTGGGAAAACTAAATCTCTTCTCAAGTTAAATAAACAAACAACTTAAGCATTAGTGGAACCTATTTCTCCTTTTCCCATTGTCCCTGTAGGCTTGCTTCAGAGCAAAGTTTGGCAAAAGCACTGGTTTTATGGCAGGACATGCATCAGTAACCCAGCCTGAGACTCTAGAAGAGCCAGAAGAAACGCAGCAAGTTGAGTCAGACCCAACAAACATTTGTTAAGGCCTCCTTTCCACACAAATGACAAGTCAAGGGCTGCTGAGATCCACACTACAAACATCTGTGTTGGCTGTCCCTGTCTGGGTCACAGACAAAACCAATGCCAGTGCAGCCTCATCCTCCTCCTTGCACAGCAACAGTTTGTGCAGTGGGCAGGAACAGGTGGAATGGGAATGCCCCAGCTGTGGCTGGAGTGGCACCCCTTGGAGACAGAGCAGGCAGCATCTCCTTGTCTGCTCAGGACATGCAGGTGGCAGGAGGGAGAAGAAAACACTGCCCAGGTGACAAAGTGCAACCACCACAAACCTCTGGAAGTCAGCTGCAACCCTCAGTTCTCAGAACAGAATGTGCTGGGAGTTGGTCACCCTGCACACTGAGGGAACAGCAGGAAGCTCCCTCACAAGCAGTCCAGGAGGTGTCCCTTCATTCTCTTCTAGCAAGAGACACTGCTTTTGGCACTCTGCACTTTCTCTGTGGTGGCTGGACAGAGCAGATGAACCCTGATGTGCTTGCTACTCAAGCACAGGCTATAGCTGCTCTAGGGAGGTGGAAGAACTCAGTCAAACACCTGGCAGAAAAACACAAAGACCAGCAGAGCAAGCCATAAAATAAGTCAAAGCAAAATGCCCTCAATATTCAGATAGCAAAAATGCAGTCCCCAAGAGGTCTCATGGATAAGGCAGATAAACATAACAGCAAAATACTGCAATGCCTGTGTGATAGTAAGGGAATTACTTAGATTTATATTTATATTTAAAAAATGTGAATATCATTGTTTGCTACATTTTCCATTTTCTGGATGTCTGATTGGAGTGCTGTTAACTCTTGGCTGCAAAGTGAAATTAAAGGAATTTTACTTTAATGTGAAGAAAGCTGTGTTAAAAGTCAGAGCCTAGTTTTGCAGAACACTACGCATCTCACATTAAGCACCCAAAATTAGCAGATGCTTCTCCCATAACCTGTCTGCCCTGATTAGCTGTGGTTAGTGAACATACCATCCTCTTATCTCACAGGAACACTGCAGAATTAAAACCTGTGTGGCACTCCAGCTGTATCTGGACTCCATGGAAATGAATACTTTTGTACCCAGACTGGAGTTTGCAGTGTCCTGTAAATAAGGTGCACACTCTAGAGATGAAAATAAGGTGCAGCTCTGGAGATGAAATATTGAATCCTGTGAGTATCATTCACTTCATCCACTGCACAGTGCAGGAGCCCACAGGAAAGATGGGACAATTGAGCAATTCAAAGTTATCATAATGATTCAAGAGTTCTTAACTTCTAATGACTTTACAATCTTAATGTTTTGCCATGATTTATGTAGTGCATGCATTGTGTTGCTGCATGCAGTTCACTTCCAGACTCTGGTCATAAAAAGAATCTGAAATTTTCAGAAGTAACTGCAGGCACCTCAGTTAAAAAGGCAAGAAGGACAACTTTAAAAGCAAACACATCTAAACAAAACATGTTTTCTGCTAATCAAGTTTAGTACAAGAGAAAATGGAAGAGACATATGTCCTGGTATTTCTGGTCCAACATGTTATGTTTGGCTCAGCAGTGTGTTTGACAATTAACTTTGTTACTGATGTCTTTTCCACTATAGCTGAAAACATAGCTCAGCAAAAACCATCTCACAGTTCATGATGACTGAAAGTTTAACTTGCTTTGGAAATACCTGGATATAAATTTAGTCTCTTTCTGCTGGTCACAGACTGTCCAGGGATTGTCATCTGTGGACTGATTACAGACAGGATCTGTAAATGAAGCTGCTGAGGTTCATGATTAGAAGTTCAATCTGTATCAGGACACCTCTTTCTTTTGGAAGCCATGAAACATCTTTTTATAGTCAGAGAAAAGAAAGCAGCAATTTATGTTAAAAATTATTTTTGAAGAAGCAGCCTTCAAGCATTACTAAAGTAACTTTTAAATTAACTACTGTTAAATGCTTATGAGGCAATATTCAAACAAATAAAAATATTAATTATTAGGCAGCGTCTCCTCCAGGCCTCCAGTCACAGGCACTGTCATAACTGGTTCCTTGAAGATAACTCTCAGTCATGTGTAGTCACAGAGTGTTTTTTCCTTCATCATGAGAAACATAACCTGAAAATCTCAAGTCAATATTAAAATAGTTTTGGAGCTTTTTGGATTTACTAATGATAATTTCTTCACTCAAAAGCCTCTTACATATCACAAGAATTCTCATCTTGAGAGATAAGAAAGCATCTCAAAATGAATTCACTAAAGCATAAGCAGCTAACTTGATTCTACACTTTACAGTCAAATAAAACTAAGCAAACACCAACAATGTATCTACTTAATAATGCTTTAAGAGATCTTGACAGTGATTTTTATAAATTAGAAAGAACAAGGACACTGTATCAGGAAGGATTCTTAGCCCAGAATTCATCCTGGAATCAGTAAGCACAGCTGTGACAGTAACCAACAGAGAGCAGAAGGATGTGCACAATAATGTTTGGTGGCACTTCTCAGACTTGCCTTTTGATGCAAGATAAATAAAACTTCCTGATAATAGTGATGGTGTTGATTTACATGTACATTGATATCTCTAAAATATCCATAATTACCTTCCATGATATCTTAATTAACAGGAAAGAACTATATAAAGGCAACACATAAGTTAACACACTTGGATGAGAGATTTCAAAGTGTCATTTACAATGTGGGAATTCAAGACTGTTTGGCACATTTTCTTTGAAGTACTGTAAAAAGGAAGTGACAGTTGTCTTTTTGCTATTGAATATCTTTATGAATGATTTGGGAAACCCAAAAGTTTGAAAATTAAAAGAATATTCAGAAAAACAGCAGCTTGGGACTCAAGTGCTCTGCAATCTATTGCAAGAGGACAAAAAGAAACAAAAGGTTGAAAGTCAAAGAGACTAATCCAAGCTGAAACGAAGATATATTGGACTGTGAAGACAGCAGAACCAAGAATATTGTAAAACCAAAAATAGAAATTTTCCTGAAGTTCCAAGCTGTAGCCATGCTACTGAACCTGAAGCAAAACCAAAGCAAGGTAGACTGAAGGGCCATGTTAAACCACAGGTAAGGTAAGGCAGCCCCTTCTATATTTTTCATCTATGATAATTGATTATATATATAGCTATTTAGTGAATAGTCAAATCCATTACAAGTAGTGGCCATCTCCCACCCAAAGTCACCATTTCAGAGCTGGCACTTTTAGTTCTTTTTATTCCATTTTCACAGGGTGAAGGAAATACGTCTTCCAGATGCTTGATCAAAACCCTTAACCTACGTGAAAATAGCAATGACAACTCACATGCAGAGACGTATGAATGTATTTCATTCCACAGCCTCCTTTCCATAATATCTGCTATTTAGAGACCCTCTCAACTGCAATTAGTCACCAATTCTCTCCACTAAAATGCACGAAGGGCTCAAAAATCATATACACAACAGTGAGCCATGAAGCTCAGGCCCAGCATCAGCTAAAACGTGCAACGTCCAACGCCAGGCAGTGCTGTATCGTGTCGGGTGATGTCTCACAGCACCGGCAGCCCCGCCAAGCCCGAGCACCCCTGGCAATCCCGCGGGGCTCTGCTGGGAGCAGGGAGGGACTCACCGATTTGGTGGATTCCAGGGAGCCCGAGGACAGCGTGTCGCGGCTGCCGCGGCTCTTGGAGCTGAGGTGCGGCGAGGAGGACGGCGAGTCGTCGATGTAGGGCATCATGTCATGGTGCCGCCGCTGCTCCTCGGCGCGGTCAGCATCGTACGCGTAGCCGGGCGGGGTCCCCCCGAACGGGGCATCTGCAAAGCACAACACAGGCTCCGGGTGACACTCACGTTCTCTGGACAAACGGACAGAATTCTGCCTCTCGGGAGAAGCACAGACAGAAGAAAACAATCTTCGTCTCTGCTGCTTTGTTTTCCCCATGCGGAATGTGGTACGGATGTTGTTCACCTGAAGTGATGGCTGGGTTGGATTCTGGTGAAGGTTGTTTGGGTTCAGTGACCAATCGGATGCAGCTGTGCTGGACTCTCAGCAGAGAGTCACAAGTTTTGTTAGAGTTAGTTGATAGGTAAATAAGAAGTAAGTACATAGAATAGGATAGTATATCTTTAAATAGTATATTAATGTAATATAGTATAGTTTTAATAAGCAGATCCTTCAGCCTTCTGATCTAGAGACAGACACCATCATTTCCCATCCAGGGTCTCCTGTTATCCTATGGCTCTGCTCAGCCTGCACAGGCAGGGCACGGGCTGGGCAACACGGGCACAGCCCTCCAGCTGCTGGGGTCAGTTATCACGAGACCCAAAGTCAAACACACATCAAGGAGAGGAGTAAATATACTTAAATTCATGTTGTCACCAAAAGTTCATTTCACTTATTCGAAGTTCTAAAAGGCAAAGTCCTTTCTTACATTAGTGGTCATTTAATTACAGCGCTTTCCCTCACATCTTCCTTCAAAAGAATTAGCACCAAAATAAATGCTTTTGCTGGCTCCATAAAAGTTACCAGTCTGAGTTTAGGAAACTCCTAGGTAACAGACTCTGGGTTTTCTGCCCATCAAGAGCAGATGATGCCCCTGGCAGTTTAGGTAAAATAGGCAATACATAACTCAGGGGAGAACTATAACTCTGTCCATACCTCTCAGCAACAAGAAGAGTAGGAAAGAAAGGCCCTACATGTCAAGTGAACCAACCTACTGACAAAAATAAAATCCTAAAAGGTCCTCTTCTGTTGACTGCCCCTCCTCCTATTTTGAACTTAACCCCTTAAACAAATAAACAAACCACCACACTGCTCCCTTCTATACATGCCGTCTCCCCTCCCCCAGAAGGCCCTAAAACAACACATCCAGAACACAAGCAGAAAAGAACAGTGGTATGAGGAGTCACGCTAACCATTACTGCATGAGACAGCAGTGAACTTCTGCAGGAAAAATGAGTAGCAAAACTGGTTGCGCCATCTTTAGTTACTGTGTACAGAGAAAATGCAAAAATCTGTAACAAGGACAGAGCAGCTCCTTCTGCCATAAGCTAAAAGGCTTTTCATCTCTCTGCACAAAGAAATACACACAGAGTAGCCAAATTTGGTGTCTACACAGTGACACTGCACCACAATCTCCATGGGCCTGTGAAGCACTTTCACCTGCCAATGCCCAGCAGTGTCCTGGGTGTGACAGTCACAGTCATGCACGGGCCACTGTCCACAAAACAGCAGAGCTGTTCCTCCTCTTTGAGCCACAAGTCACAGAATGCCACCCTTCTTCCCAAACTGAAAAATAACCCCAAGGAGATAGGTTAGATCTGCCTTCACAGAAGCCAGTGAGCCTTATGGAAGACAGAGCCATCAAAAAAGGAAAACCAGTTACACTTGAATACAAGCAGAAGCAATTTCTTGTTTTCACAAATATCCAGGTTCTGTTAAAATAATAAGCAGCTGCTGCCAAGCATACTAATAATCCTGTTATACATCACTAAGGCAGGGTGGAGGAGTAACATTTTAAAGCCCACTTTCCTCCCTCACAGTAAACTCAGTTAAAGTATGACTCATTTCAGTAAAAGATGTGAACTTTATGTGGAACAGAATAAAACTTGATCTATGTGGCTTTTTCAGGAGGGAGAGCTGGTCTGGGGAATTTACATAAACAATATACTGAAAACCCAACAATAAACTCACTGTAGATGTGAACCTCTGTCTCAGCTTGTTCCAAATGCCACCCAGCTAAGTAACAGCCTGGTACAAGGCCTTGAGGCTGCTGAAGGACTATGGCAATATTATTTTAACAAACTCTGAGTTTTATGTCACCCTCCTGCTCAAGTTATTACCTTGTGCTCAAACTCTCAGAGCTCCTCAAATGACTTGTTAGACTCTGCACAATCACAGCAGCAAGAGGGAAGGTGGTATCTGCTCTCTGGAAGGAACTTTGGTCCAGGTGTTAGAGGTTTCCAGAGTCCACAACCATTCAGAAAATACCATATAATTTGATTTGCTAAACAGCAGCTTGAATGGGAGTTGCTGAAAACAGGAACTTTCTAACCCAAGAATCCTGTGATACATCACTGACAACTGAACACAGGTGTTATCCAAGCAGGAATATCAGTACTGGGCACTTCTGCTGGCCTCAAGCCCACTCAAGGAAGGGTTTCTTTCTCCTGCAGGAGTTTATTCAAACTATTCTTACCCAAACCCATTTCTCTGCACTCCTGCGGTAACAAGACCAAGTTCCTGTGTGGAAATTAAGGCAGGAATATATTTTTCATTCCCAGTGCTCACTCTCAAAATGNACTATTCTTACCCAAACCCATTTCTCTGCACTCCTGCGGTAACAAGACCAAGTTGCTGTGTGGAAATTAAGGCAGGAATATATTTTTCATTCCCAGTGCTCACTCTCAAAATGAATAGTTTGCTCCACTTTTGTTAGTGGGGGAGTAAATGCAGACTAAAATACATTAGCAGAAAGGCTTGCAGTGAGTAACAGTATTTCCACTTTCCTCACTTTCTCCAGCTAAAAAACAGCTTCACACTTCTACCTCCCATAATGTGTTCTGTCTCCTACTGCACAGGAAAACCTTTACCTGAAACTGGAGGGAAAATGCCAGCTGGAGGATCAGCTCAGAGGGCTTTGCAACAAGATTCAGTCTACCTTTGAATCACTTTGTCTCCCTAGCCATAAAAAAGAAAATAAGTCATCTTGCAAATCTATCAGTGTCACAGACTGCTATGAAATCTGTTCATAAAGCCCCATACAGAATTTAAAACTTTATTTCTGTATCCTCCAAGGATTCTTCACACATTAAAAAGCTTAGAAGTAGTTATTATCCTTCTTCTTTCTATTATTGTTGAACGCAGCACTGAAATCTACCTATGGTGATTTTAATTATCTCAAAGGCAGAAAGACCTCCTTGCTTTTATTTGCCTTTTTTTTTCCCAGAAAAGCAAAGTACTGCCATAGCCAGATACGCTACGCAAGCCTGAGCACCAGGAACAGAGGTAGCCTTGTGTCTCTGTGATGAAAGAGCCCGCTGTTGCCAGGGAAACTGGGTTATTCACATCTCCTCAGCCAGCACAATGCTCACAGGCTGCTCAGCTCCACCTGGCAGCAAGGGACCAGAGCAAAGAGATCAGAGCCAGGAGCTCACCTGCTCCGACACCTGCAGCTGCTCCAGGTGGAGACAGCACATGGGCTCAAGCAAGAGCACTCGGTCTCTTAGCCAGTGGCTCTGTCAAGGTGAGCATTAAGAGGGCTCTTATTCTCATTTAGGGCCAGCCAGGTTCAGAGTTGCTATCAATAACTTTGCCATCAAGGCCAGAGGAAGATGAACCACAGCAACAACAGATAACTGCTGGCAAGAAAAAGGGCAGGCAAACAGGCTGATGGGCTCCACCACAGTGTGCTAAGAGAGCACCTGAGAAAGACACTGAGGACACGGCTCCACGTGTGCTCTGCTTCTCATCTCAGCACCAGGCACAGCCCTTCTCCTCCTCTTTGCTAACCTGAAAGAGATCCCATCCCATAGTGAAGGGCAGCAGCTGTGACTTACAGAAACGAGCCCTCTCTGCTCACAACAGGAGCTATTTCTACCCCTGGCCCTCTGACATTGTCTTACAGTACCACTCTCCTCCACTGTGAACCACCTGGGGCTACAAAGGCTCATCATTAATTCACCTATTCTGCAAAAAACCACTCAAGTATTTACTCCCACCTTCGGTTCTGACAGCAGCCTGGCCTTGTTTTGCTTCAGCTTATAGGAGTTTGTTCTAGCATTTCCCTCCTGTTACTGCTTCTATCCTCTCATTTTGTTTTTCATCTCTGTCCCATTTTTATTTTCTTTTGTTTTTCTCAAACATAATATTCCTTTTCTCTGTGACCTTGTGCCTCCCCCTCTTCTAAACTGCTTCCCTTCCTCACTGCTTCAAATTTCACCTGGCTGGGGGGTAAGGAAGAATCTAACAAATTTACAGTTACAAATTCACTGGCACTCAGAGAGAGCACAGCAACACTGCTCCCTTGCCCTGTTGCCTACACCCTTCCTGCTGGGTGCCACATTCATTCTTTGGAAATATGAAATCATAGACCTAATGCAAAAGCAGGAAGGGTAAAAGAAATTAACTTCTAAGTAAAAAGAAAGATTATCTGCATCTAATCCACAGCCACACAATGGTCAAAATGCACATGTCATACTTTCACAGCAGCACAACATCCATAGCTGCTTGAGAGGCTTAACAGCAGCATGCAGAAAAGATTCGAGCGAGCTGTGCTCCAGCTAATCCTGCTAAAAGAGCAGTGAAGCCACAGCAGCTCAGACCTGCCTGCCTAAGTAAATACCTAGAATCCTGGAGGGGGAAGGGAGCTGTACATCCTGCCAAAGCCCCACATCACTGTGGCTTCTTTGTGAATGGTACCATGGCTAGCACAAGTTTGTAATGTCTCTACACTCACTCCAAAAACATGCCCACAGCTGCAGAGCAGAACAGAGCTAAGGCAGTTTGCACCCTCGTGTTTCTGTGCCAGGGAATGTGTGAGGCCATAGTTTGACAATGCATTACCTTGGCAGCAACAGGGTTTTAGGTTTCCCCCACCAAGCCATAAACCACTTCACTGCCCTTTCCCCTCTTATCCCCTTAGTTCTGCAACCCCACAGATGCCTGTGGTCCAGATAAAGAACTCAGCCAGCTCAAAGAAAAATATCTTTGACGCTTCCCTTCTAAGCTGGATCAGCTCTGTGATCTAGTTCATGGCTCAGAAATCCAAACTGGAAGGATACACACACAGTAGATATGGGGTGGGTACACTTAA